GGGGGAGGAAGCCATTCTGATCAGTGTGGATAATTCTACTTAATACTCTCTTTAATCTTTCCACCAATATTGTAGCCATTATTTTATAATCTACATTTTAAAGTGATATTGGTCTATAGTTTTGAATTTTGGGGGGGTCTGATTGTTCTTTATAAATAAGGGTAATATATGCTTCCAACCATGATTTGTGCTCTAAAGCATTATGAAACAATATCCAAGTGATATTGCTGTTCTAATAGACATTCTGTATGGCAATTGATAAGTGGCCTTTCCCACAATTGGCAGGACTGGAATTTCAGGAAAGATTACCAGCAGCTATTCTTATAGGATAGACCAGAGGTGATATTCAGCAGGTTCTAGCCAGTTCTGGAGAACTGGTAGCGGAAATTTTGAGTAGTTCGGAGAACCAGTAAATACCACCTCTGACTAGCCCCACCCCCATCTATTCTCTGCCTCCTGAGTCCCAGCTGATTGGCTGGGTCCTCTTTTGTTGCCCTGCACAGGAGAACGGAAATGGAAAGCAGGTCAGTGGGATGGGGAGGGAATGGGGATCTTGCAGTAACCTTCCCCGAGGAGTGGGGTGGGAATGGAGATTTTACAGTATCCTTCCCCTGCCACGGCCACCAAGCCACACCCACAGAACAGGTAGTAAAAAAAAAATGAATGCCACCACTGGGATAGACCTGGGCATTTTACGTTTTGTTTAAGTGGGGGTCTTGTCTCTACCTCTTGGTGGGACTGTGATGCTCCTCGACAAAATATCCATCACATTGTGCTTGAATGTCCATCAAGAACTTACACTAGCCCAATGTCTGATTTTGTTTCAACATAGACCACATTGTCCTTGAATGGCTGGGTGGACTGGACAGTAACATTTGAACTACTATAAGTCCATGTATTTGTCATATGCTAAATTAAATAAATACATTCTGCAGACCACATCTGGCCCATGGGTGGTTCTTATCTGGCCTGCAGTGTCAGCATTGTAGATGGTAGGGGATACAGTGGCAGCAGTGGTAGGAAAGGGGAGTCATCCCCAACAGTCCTAGTTTCTCATGTGAACTCTTGAGAAAATTAATTGCCCACCCCTTTTTGGGGTCTCACAGTAGAGCTGTAAAAACAACCACTCAGAAAGCTCTTTTCCAATTGATATTAAGGTCTTGCTGTGAGGGCATGCTGACATGCTTTTCTCCAAGTTCTGAGTAGGGAGGGAGAGCAGAGACAGTGGCAGTGTCAATTAGCCCTAAGAACTACTCAGTTGTCTCTATGTCCGTGTTAATACTTAATTAGAGCTGTACTGTTGCTGAAGTAACAGACTCTGTAAGTTTCCTGTTTGAGGTCCAATCACCTGCTGATCACCCCAGAACAAACAAAAGTGTAATCTGGGACTGATTCATAAATAATAGCAATGTTGAGTGATAAGATTATTCTATATCTTTTTATAGTATATAAAGTACACTGCTTCTCAAAAATTTAAGTTGGGATACTGGCTGTGGATCAAATGTACTATGGGCATATAAAGTAGTCATTGTATCCATGACAGTACTAGGTAAGTGCCCACTAACCACCTGTTTAATATTAATAATCATCTTTCCATCTGTTCTTCTTTCTGAATTAGATAATACACGTTTTCAGCTACTTTAACGTGTTCAAAGTTTAAAAAATGAGTTAGCACCTGCAACACAGAGGAAACTCAAAGGTTGATGTTTTCCATTTGGGAATGTGTTGACCTACAGGATCTACAGCAGGGGTGTCAAACTTGATTTCATTGAAGTAGTGGGCGTGGCCAGGGTGAAGGTGGCCAGCTCAAGATCACTCATCGAGGCTCTGTTTTTGGCCGTGACAGTCTCCTGCAGCCCTTTGCCAGTGAAAATGGAACTTGGGGAGGCTGTGCACAGCTTCCTCAACCTCCATTTTCGCTGGCAGAGGGCTGCAAGAGGCTGTCATGAACAAAAACATCCCTTCTGAGCTCCATTTTTCACTGGCAGAGGCTCAGCAGGTCAGTCCTTCGCTGTTTCCAGGGCAGCCGCTCTGGCCAGATCTAAGCACTCCATGGGCCTTGAGTTTGATACCTTTGGTATACAGTAATAATCTAAGGCTATAAGAATCCACCTCCATAGTATTGCCCAGAAAACTGCATGAACCTGTCAAGGTCAACTTGAGGGAGATGTTCTTTCTTTTCAGTCAAAGGATTCTTATTATGTAAATTTGTCCTTTAGTTCCTTAACTAATGAAACTACTTGGGTCTGAAATGCTTTTTTTCAAGAGCTGAATCTCAATCCTTCTCTGTGTTGACATGTATACCCATGCTATATTTGGATATTTATTTATGTGTGCTGAGAAAACTAGACTTGCATATCAGGAGGAAAAAGTGATAAATGAGCATTAGCTGTTTCATGGTCTTATTATTTGTAGCATATTGTCATTTATTGAACAATTTCAGGGGAATCTATAAGATGCAGAGAGTTGTACAAAGTTCTAATTATTTAACTGGATGCATTACAATGACAGAGTGGAATTGTTGGGGTTTTTTTAATGTCTTTTTTCCCCGAAAGGTAATGTTCAGATTCTTTTCATATTATCTGCATCATTAATTTTACCAATCAATATGCAAAAAAAATATTCTTTTTTGGCATCAATCAACAGTTAAACAAACCAACTCTTTTAACAAAGAAAAAAAAATCAAATGCAATTTATTTGTAAATCAGAGGAAAATGTGGAGCAATGGTGGTTGTGCACAAAATTCTGTGAATTCCTCCACCCTTTATTTTTATGTTTATTTAAACTATTCAGATAAAATAGTTTACTTCACACACAAACTGCTTTTTTAAGTAATAAGTTGGGTTTTGGGGTCAGCATATTCTCTAAAAATAGATAATGAAAAAAATCTATCAGTAATATTGATTTTAATCTTCTCTGGCTACACTGTGTTAGAATTTTGCTGAATACATATCTCAAGACACATCATTAACTTTAAAAAAAATCCCTAATAAGATAATGTTGTTGTGACAGAAGTTTAAAATTATAGCATACACATTCCAATTTTAGTACCTCTAAATAAACATTTCACAGTTTATCTTTCTGTCACATTCTGTGACAAGTATATAATGCCAAATTGAAGAGAAGCCTGCTATGGATAATTGCTTGTTTTTCTCTACTTATTTTTTTTTAAAATTTATAGCTCATTTTGCATACATACTTTGAAATACAGCAATATGTGTGTTTTTTTTGGGGGCGGGGGTGGGGTGCAGATAAAGCTCATTTTCTTCTGGTTTGATTTTTTTCCTTGAGAATATTTCTTCCTGTACAGCAGTATTTTGATTGCAGCTTATATCAAATCAAATCACATCTATTACAACACTGGGATCAGAGTTAAATTACTTTTGGATTTAAGGCTTGTATATATTTTTTTAAAGTTTCCTATGTTCCATATATAAAAAACTACAGTAGGTAATACCAATCTTAGCAAGAAGAGTTTCACAGTGAACACATACATAAAAGCACCTTTCTTTGAATTATCCATTAGGAAAACAGTGAAGCATAATAGCTGTTCTCATATACATGTTCAAGATTGCCAGCAATAATGTATAAAGAGGCCAAGCAAGCTATGGCTACTTTAATGATTCCAGAGATCATTGCATTGCCAAGTGGTTCTTTCCCACTGTATACTGTGCACATAATGTCCTTTATTATAAAGGACAGTCCTTTCTTTTAGAAAGCTGTCATTTAGATTTATTCATTTTGCAAAAAAGCACTTTTGTCCTTTATTTTGGCCGTTTAACTTTTGCCATACAGATGGTATCACTTAATGCACAGTCTGATTGCAGAAATCCTTTCTATTACTTGCTTCTTAGCTTTTTACGGTTTTTAGATATTTTTATTAGAATAGATGTTCTTGTAGAGTTTTCCTTGACTTTGCTTTTGAACTTTTCTTTGTAAAGCAGTTACACATTTTTTTTTAACCCTTATGAACCTCTTTCAGATTTGATCTTTTTCAGGATTATCCTTTATTTTTCCAAGAAAATAAGGTCACCGTACCAATCAGTCAGTTGCATAGCTAAAAGAAAGTCTATCTTTCTATTAATGATCTTAACCTTTTGATTGTTCGAAGAATTGTCTTTGCATAGATGTTAGGATTAGGGTGGCTTTGAATGCATGTGCAGTTCCTGATGTCTTTATTGACCAGTAAAATATATAACTGAGTTGAAACTATATTATCTCATTTAATTTGGTGGTGGGAGGGAGAGAATAATTTAAACAAATACCATGAAATCTGTTTTCTATAATACTTGAGCAATTGTTTTCCAGCATTTAGCTTATAATTAAGTTCTATCTCCTTCCCAGAAGAAATACACTGTACCTAAATAATGCCCTTAAACCAGAGGTGGTATTCAACAGGTTTTGACCAGTTCTGGAGAACTGGTAGTGGAAATTTTGAGTAGTTCAGAGAACCGGTAGCGGAAATTTTGAGACCTCTGACTGGCCCCGCCCTATCTATTCTCTGCCTCTCAAGTCCCAGCTGATCGGCTGGGTTTTCTTTTGTTGCCCTGCACAGGAGAACGGAGCTGGAAAGCAGGTTAGTGGGGTGGGGAGAGAATGGAGATTTTGCAGTATCCTTCCCCTGCCATGCCCACCGAGCCATGCCCACCAAGCAATGCCACATCCACAGAACCGGTAGTAAAAAATTTGAATCCCACCACTGCCTTAAACCTTTTTAGTGTTTAGAAAAACTCATAACATTATGATGGAAATACCTTCTATTATGAACGTAAGGATATGTGGAGAATCTAGATAGTTTAATACATCTGGACCAGTCCTGGAATTGCATTTTAACTAATATGTTAATTAATATTCAGTTCTTCAAACTGTTATATTTATACAACTATACTACTTGCATTTATAATTGCTACCTTTCAATGTATTCAGCATCATGGCTTACTATTAAATAAAATCCTCTGTGTGAGAAAATACCACTGTAACACATCTAATTTTCATTCCAGGCACGGGTAAACCCAATCAATGTTACACCACCAATACAAGCTATAGATCAGGATCGCAACATCCAGCCTGCTTCTGATCGCCCAGGAATACTCTATTCCATCTTAGTTGGTTAGTATTTGATAATTTCACTGTCTCTCACAAAGACTGCAATAGGAGGAGGCAGGCAAAGATTATGTGGGGAGTAGAAAACAAATGATGGATTTATACTGAGTCTGTTGTATATTGGGTAATATTGGGTAGTATTGCAAATATATATTTTGCATGGTTCCGGAGTGTCTTGTTTATTATGAATTATGGAGATTTAACCCCTCCCTTCCTTTGTTTATAATAAAGGAGGTAGATTGAAAAATCCAATCAATTGTTTAATGATATATTGTGTCATTGATTCTGTTGTGTTGTACTAGTAAAAGAAAAATCATAGATTTAACAGATAAAACATATGGACAGCAATAAACCAGTGTATTTTCACACTGAGATATCAGTGGCAGTATGCATGAAAACAAAGTGATATTTTTGTGTGAAAGACTCATACTGTCTTGTCTTCTAATTATCAGAACTTACATTCAATGTTCAGTTGCCACTTTTCTTCTGAATAAAGTAGGTTATCTTAGGTTATCATAACACAACAAGCTATTGCAAAAGATTCCAGGATTACTGATGACATCTCCAGTTAAATGAAGAAGACTCAAAGTGATGAAAAAACTTGGAGAACCTTTAGCAATCTGAGTTCTGGGCTGTAGATACTAATAGTATTGGGTGATAGGAGACAGTTACTTTTAATTCCTATTGTGTGGTTAAATATCTCCCCAGTTACATGTTGCATTTAGTGGCAATCTCTTCTCAATTTCTTGGGCAGCCAAGCACATATTTGTCTTACATTTGTTTCTCATTGTGTTACAATTCCATTGTAAGTAATCACTGCAATTAGCAATTCTTAGATAATCAACAGTGGCACTTGTTCAAAATTAGCTGCTTAATTCAAAATAATGCTCAAGACTGGCACCACCAAGATCCAGCTAAAGGGTAGATATTTCAAGGCTTGCACTTATTATGCTTTCCAGGATTTAACAATTAAAGAAATAAACTAGGAACACTGTTTTAAATTAGAAGTTGCTATGATACATGCTTCTTTTACCAAAGAAGCACTGGATTAAATTTAAATAATAAACCACTAAATGGAATAAAATGGATTCCTGTTTTCATTACTCAATATGTAAGATATAATCCATCTTTTCCTTTAATCAGGACTTGAGTTGATCAAATCTCCAATAACTTAATAAGGACTTAGTTTCTATTTGAATTTAAGCTGGGTCATTCAATGATGCCGTATCTTAGTCTGAACTGTCTTATTATGGAAAAAGTAGAAGGAATGGGGGGTGCTTTGCAACAATTGCACAACCAATTCCAATATGCAATACAGGCAGAAGATATCCAATAAAGTTGTAACAAAATATAACAAAGTAGCTTGCTGCAAGCAATCAGAATTAAGTATTTGGTCCTATCTAAATAGAAGATGAAACAGGATTTCAACAGATCTTGTGGAATGCCATTACAAATATTATATCAGAGATTTCATAACATAAATCCAAAGTTCCTCAACCCAAGGACAAAATAAAATAAATAACATCTCCACATTATACTTTCTTTATTCTCTGAGTGCTACATATATATTTTAAAGCTACAAAGAACCTTATGAAATTTTATAAAACATATTTGTTACGCCACAATACTTCTGTGAATCACGATGTAATTTATCAGGAAAGAGGAATATTTCTTGTCTTCAGTGAACCAAACAATGATCCACAAAAACCTATGTTGTAATGCTTTTATGAACTCTTAAAATTGCTGCAACATGGTCTGCTTTTTAATCATAAGATTAAGCTATTCAACAGCACTGACAATGCTGCTACCCTTCAAAAAGAACTCGACTATGTGTCAGAATGGTCAAACAAATGGCAACTTCAAATCTCAACAAATAAATGCTCTATCTTACATATTGCAAAAAATAAAAAATAAAAAAATAAAAAACAAGCTGAATAGTCAAGACCTTGATGACAAACACTTTGTCAAGGACCTTGGAGTACTCATCTCAATGATCTAAGTGCCAGAGCCCACTGTAACTACATAACCAAAAAGGCATTAAGAGTTGCTAATCCTGAGTAGCTTTTTCTCTGGTAATATCACTCTACTAACTAGAGCATATAAAACATTTGCTAGACCAATACTTGAATACAGCTCATCAGTCTGGAACCCACATTACATATCTGATATTAATACAATTGAGAAAGTCCAGAAATATTTTACAAGAAGAGTCCTCCAATCCTCTAATCGTAGTAGAATACCTTATGCCACCAGACTTGAAATTATAGACCTAGACAACCTAGAAGTACGCCGCCTTCGGTTCGATCTAAGTATAGTAAATTGCAATAAATTGCAATGTCCTACCTATCAATGAATACTTCAGCTTCAACCAAAACAATACAAGAGTACAAAATAGATACAAACTAAAGATAAACTGCACCAAACTTGATTGCAGGAAATATGACTTCAGCAACAGAGTAGTCAATGTCTGGAATACTCTACTTGACTTTGTGCTTTCTTCCCCAACCCCAAAATCTTCAACATTAGACTGTCTACCATTGACCTCACCCCTTTCCTAAGAGGTTTGTAGGGGGCTTGCATAAGAGCACCAAAACGTGCTTACCGCCCCTGTCCTATTGTTTCTTTTTTTCCTATTTGTATCCATTTCATGTATTTATAGCCATGTTTATACTTATACCTGATATCTAATAAATATTTGACAAAATAATTAAAAAAATAAAAATAGAGATAATTTCCTTGCCAGTATGGAATAGGGTATCCTGAACCATCAGATTTCATGCCCCCAATAATTGAGGAAATAAGAAATATGATGCCAAGCACTATCCACAACCCCTTTGCTGCCCTATGCTCAGATCCAGCACCCAGGTCTAATATTTAGAAAATATTTAGAAAAATAAAAATCTATTTCAACCACTTTGATGATGCGTTGCTCATTTTAAGCTTTCCAAGGTGTAACATCAACAGATAGAAGCCCCAGCTTCTTTTCATATTTTATCTGCTGAAGTGGCATCACCAGATAGAAGAAGATTTCAGTTAAATTGGTTTCTAACATAGATTTCTAAAAGAAGGTTTAATCTGTCCCTCCATCCTAAAGTTTATAGAAGAACACAACCCTTCTTTAACCACTGAACAATCCATATAATTATACACCTAGGTAATTCAGATGCAATTTTGCAAATTGTATTATTTTGCCTGAACATCCAGTTGACCTGTGAAATGTATTTCTGTTTCTGTTTTAAACACCTTCAGAATCTACATCCATTTTCTTCTATTAATCCTCTTGCTGCTCAGCTATCATTGGTTTCTACAAAAATTATCATGTTTTGGTAAGAGTAACAGATAGTAAAGTAGAGAAGAATAGATTATGTTACAGCTGGATTTATAGAGCAGGGACGTTTCAGACTTCTCAGCCCATTTGATGAACTAATTATAAGTTGGTTTACTTTGTGAAACATCTGTGTTCACATTTCATTTAACATATGGTTAATTCAGCAGTCATAGAACCTTCCATTTGAGAGCAACGTGTGAAGGAAAATAAATCTGGTAAGATGTAGCTATTGTGACAAGAACCATGGCTCCAAATGGCACCTATGTTCAATCATCACAGCTACATGGAATCGCTATATAGAAGTGCTACCCAGGGGCTTTAGTTTAAAGTAAAACAAGTGAAAGTTTTTAAAAAGTTTGTTTCAATGTTTAGTAAAAACCGAGCGTGAGGAGGGAAGATACATACTATAGAAAATACCAAACATTACAATAAAGAGGAACAATATTTGAAAGTATTTCATGTATTTATATCCCATAATTATTATTTTAATGAATAACTCAAGATGAAAAATATGCTATGTCAGCATTCCGTAAAACCTGCACTCCAACAAATAACTCCAAGACAGACATCCCCTCTCCAAGGTTCCTTTTATTAGAGTTAGTAAACTGGCACATCTGGGAAATCTGAAAGTTCCGGGTTTCCTTGCAATAAGTAAAAAATTACAAATCCATCCCCCTGCACCCCTCATGGCATCACATGGGCCAATCACCATCTGTCCCAACTTGAGACGTCCCCTCAGCCAGGTGCAGAAATAACATGACCTTGACTTAGAAGAAGAATGCTAGTATGTCTAACCACATACACTCCAAGAAATTCCCCCCTCCCATTTTCCCAGGCTCAAGAATATGGCAGTGTGGAAGCATCTGGTACTAATATGGTTTCCAAAGCTGACATGCTTAATATTCCTTCCTTCTATTTTCCCCACAATAATAACCCTGTGAGTTGGATCAGGCTGAGAGACAGTGACTGGCCCATAGTCACCCAATTAGCTTTCATGCCTAAGACAGGAGTTTAATTCAGGGCTTCTCAACCTCCAACCCCCGGTCCGTGGACTAGCACAGGGCCACGGCATGCCAGAAACCAGGCCCCTCAAACAAGTGAAGCCCCATCCACGGGATGCAGATAGTACCCAAAACCATATCCCCTCTGGTCCACAGAAAAATTCTCTCTGTGGAACCAGTCCCTATTGCCCAAAAGGTTGGGAGCCACTGCTTTAATTCACCATTTCCTGGTGTCTAGACTGATGTTTTCACCACTATCACAATTCACTTGAAAGATGAAAATGAACATATGAACTGTCTTATTACCTAAATAGCTCCTTATTATCTACTGTAATGAAGGACCCAGTCTTTGTTCCCTGATCGTGCAACCTATAACTCCACTGGTAGAGTCTGCAATGTTCTACATAAAAAGCATGCAGTTTAATCTTTCTCTCAGTATCAGTTGCTACTTTCTGATACCTCATATGACTATTTTGATATGCTCTTAACTTGCCCATCCTTTTTCATCTTGTGTCATTTTTTTACAGAATGATTTTTGGAAATGTTTCAAATAATAATGTTTACTGATTTTTCGCCCCTTCAAATATCCATATATAGCTCTTTCAGAATTTCAGAATCCTTGTTTATCTCTCCTGGAGGTGGAGAGGTTAGAATTTCCTTTTTGTCTATCAGCTGAAGCTTAAATATATTTCTTGGGAAGACAGGTTTATGGAGGAGTGCCATTTATTACTCTGGGACTGAGTCTATGTAAGATGAAAGCAAATCCATTCCTACATTAGTTCTTTCTTCCCTCTGATTTCCAGAGTAACTTTCTTCCCTGTGACTCCAGGAAATAGCCCCAATAAGTCTGGGATGTGTCAGAGTGGGAAGCTTAGATAGATTTTAATCTTACATTGATGAAATAGGCTCAGGTGAGATCATTGCTTGGGAAGACTAATACCTTAAGTCAAGGATCCCCAACCTGTGGACTATGGCCCACTACCAGGCCATAGCCTATTGGCCACTGAGCCACATGAGTGGCTGGCCAGTGCATGCCCACACACTCCATTCATGCTAGCATTGCCGCAAGTGTTTCATGGGTGCTAGCATTGTCATGAGCATTGCGTACACACACACGGCCCTGTTTGCATCAGATGTATGTTTCCAACCCTGTTTGCATCTCTCATGTGCACTCTTGGCACTGTTCATGTGCACGCTCGTGGCCCTGCTCGTGCACATGCCTCCCTGTGTAAAGGCACCTGTCCCTCCTCTGGGCCACCAACCCCGAAAGGTTGGAGTACTCTGCCTTAAGTCATGGAACTATTGATTCTATACTGAGGCATTGATATTCAATTTCAGTGATCAAACAGGGGCTCTTTAAATGGGATACCAAAAAGAGCATTATTAATGAACCAATCCGCTGTTCAGCCAAGAGTCTCACACTCCTCCATGCCCCTTGCAGGCAGCATCCTAAAGCTCATTTTCTTCAGAAGACTATGCCTAGAATGACATAATTTGACCTTAAAGGTGGTAAAAATCAGCAGCTTCTAATCAAGGACTTTGGCTATTGTTCAAAGTTAGCTTATGATAGAGCAGGGGTATCAAACTTGCATCATCATGTATCACATGATGTATCACAACTTTTTTTCCCTTTGCTAAACCAGGCATGGGCGTGGCCAGCGCATGGTGCATCCAGCCCATGGGCCATGAGTTTTGACCACCTATCACCTCCTGTGATGGAGGATGGCAAAAAACAATTTGACATATAAATTTAAAGATATAAAATAAACTGCATCTCTAAATGATAGGCTTTTACTATAATGTGACTATAAAGTAGAGCTTGGTCATTTATGAACCAATAACAATCAAAATGTATAAATTAAATGTGCCATGATGTTCATTTAAATTGAAATAGTTGTTGTTTGTTAGATAAATAACAAAAGATACAAAAAAGATTTTTTTTTTAATCAAAAGAAAAACAACTTAAACTGATTTGTTCTTATGGCTTCACCAATTCCAATACCATTAAATTTCAGATGAAATATGCCCAGTCCTCAATCAATGCTTCACGATATCATTGAATCCATGTAACTATTTTATACCGTATAATAGATTTTTAATGTAAACAAAAATAGAATTTAAAAAAGGCTATATATAGGGTGCAGGGGGCACGATGGCTCAGCAGCAGATGTGGTATTCAGCAGGTTCTGACCACTTCTGGAGAATCAGTAGCGGAAATTTTGAGTAGTTTGGAGAATCGGCAAATACCACCTCTGACTGGCCCCATCCCTATCTATTCTCTGCCTCCTGAGTCCCAGCTGATTGGCTGGGTCCTCTTTTGTTGCCCTGCACAGGAGAACGGAGCTGGAAAGCAGGTTAGTGGGGTGGGGAGGGAATGGGGATTTTACAGTATCCTTCCCCTGCCAAGCCCACCAAGCCACGGCCACAGAACCGGTAGTAAAAAAAAATTGACTCCCACCACTGGTCAGCAGTTAAAAGCACCGAGCTTTAGATGGAGAGCTGACAGCCCGGGTTCAAGACCCAAACTCATAGGGTGACCTCCTGTTACTTGCCCAATTCCTGTACCAAACTTCCTTTGAAATCATGCAAATGCAAGTAGATGCCAATTAAGTGGGAAGGTAACAGTGTTCTACCAGCCTCTGGCATATAGACATACTGGCCACATGATCACAGAAATTGTCTTCAGAGAAAGCTGGCTCCCTCAGCCAAGAAACAGAGATGAGCGACGCCCCCTTGACTCAGACATGACTGACAGAGGAAACTTTACCTTTATATATAAGATGTACAGAATTACTTTTTCTTTTCTTTAGCAACCAGTCCACTTCTCCTAGCTAATATTTTCACCTCCGTCCTTTTTTTCTTATTTTACAATATTTTGCTAGATCAAGACAACTTGACCTGCTCCTGAGATTTCCACAGTTAAGGCAGCAAAGCCTCAAAAGAACTTTCCATTCCCATTCCTATCCTTAATTCTCCTTCCCTAAAAAGTAAGTTATAGAACTTCAACCCAGCCACTTCCTCTGATGTCATCATATCATCTGATGGCCTCTTCTATGTCTGAAGAAAATCAGGATGAACTCTCCATCCCTCAGTGCTTACCTACCCTGACCTATGTTGTATCATCCAAAGAGCTGAAAGCATTTTCAGAAGTGTGCCTTCAAATATTTTCACATGTGAATGGTAAGGGGCTACTTGGAAAACCCCTGAATATTGTAGCTCCAAAGTCCTGCCCAGAAACATATACTGGGTGACAGTTTTGTAATTTTTGCAGCACCAGGAGCAAGTCTCTCTTGCCTCTGTTTTGTTGCCTTTTCTAGTCTCTCTTGCCTCTGTTCTTCTTTTACCTTTCTGTGACTCTATTGCCTTTTTAAATAAGTTGTAAGGATCTGCCTCTCCTTCCCACTCAAGAAAGTAAGAACTCTCTTAGTATTTCAAAAGGAACAAAGCAAAGCAAGGCAGACTCTAAATCCCCTCGGGTAAATACAGTTAGAAATTAGGCATTAGAAACCCCTCCTTCCAGTCCAATGTGGATTCAGCTAATCCACAGGTGTGAAGATGTTGCTGTGATGTTGTTGTAATGGTGCTCAAGATAAAGGTTATAAAATAACAGTTGTCAAAAGTAATAAGAAAGAATCACATTCAGGATTTTCCTCATTACTCCCCCCCCCTCAAATGAATGGCAGTATCTGTAATCTTCTTTTAATATTCCATGTGCATGTATAAGGTTTTTTTTTTTTTTTCAAACTCTGTTATTTTTTTCACAGATTGCTAGTTTAACTATCAGTTTGATATGGACATCTTGATTTATGTGGATTTATTTGCCCACCTGCATGGGGTGTAGAAGGCCTTCAAAATTGTTAATGAGTGGCTAGTAAATCTTGTAATTAATTAATGAGAATATGTGTTATTTATTAATTAAAAACAAGCACGGCGTTATAATTTCACACGCCATCCTGTGAACTATGTATAATGTCAAATGGTTGTTTGTCAATGTTATTGCAACCATCTCCGCTTATCATTTTTCAATCTGGGAAGAGAAAGTGGTGCGTTGCAATAATTATCATGTTGAATTTAGGACCCCGGTTTCAAAATGCAACCATGAAACTAGCTTTACAAGCCCATGTAGTGGAAGAAGCATTTATTTGCTTTGTGCATGAATGCTCTCTATGCACATATTGTCAGCACAGCAAGAGGTATAATTGTTAACACTAGTAAGTGTTATTTTGTTGGGAGAAATAGGCTGTGCAATTGAAAAGCAGTGCTGGGTAAGAAAATCAAAACTTGTTTCCCAAAGGAACATTGCAAGTGGTTACATTGCAAATAGATATTATGTTTAGCTTTGCTTGTATTTAAAGTTGTTATCTTTATTTTTATTTTTTTAAGTTATGCACACAGACCAATAAAATCTTTTATATTGTTGTGCCAACTTCCAGATATAGGAAATGCTGTTGCCATCCTTGGTTATGAAGGATTGACAGGGAAAAAGTTTCAGGAAAACTCTATAAATGTCACATCAGAAGTTCAGCAACCTCTCAACACTTAGAAATTGTCCATTCTTGGTCTTAAGAGATCTCCTTCCAGGGCATCTTATGAGACTAAACCAATAAAATGTAAATTTATATAACCATATTAAAAGTAGCTAGTAGATGAATAAATTAGTGGAGTGGAATGAGTAATCATTTAATTTTTTTCCATGAAAAGATCAATATAATATATCCACGTGAGATTGGGAAAGTTTCCTGATTTGAAATTCTAGAACACATGTGTCAAACTTGAATGTGTCACATAATGTATCATGATGTATCATGATATTTTTTTGCCTTTGCAGAGCTGGGGTGGGCATGGCCTGCACATGATGCATCCAGTCTGCAGGCCGCCAGTTTGACAAACTGTGTGTCAAACTCAATTTCATTGAGGGCTGCATCAGAGCTGTGGTTTACCTCAGGCGTTTCGATGGGTGTGGCTGACTGGGTGGACATGGCCAACTAGGTGGGCGTGGCCAGATTGACACCACTCCTCAAATTGCTGGCATGTTTCCTCTTCGCATTGGGTAGACTGGCCCGACGCCATGCTGGCCTGATCTTTCATCTTTGCACTGGGTAGACCACGACGGGCCTGTGGGCCGGATCTGACCACATCATGGGTCGCATCCATCCCATAAGCCTTAAGTTTGATACCCCTGCTCTAGACGGACACTATCCACCCTGCTCTAGAGGGACACTATCCATAGTTATTATTATTCAATTAACTTTCTCTAAATCTGCTTTCTACAGCTCAGTACAGAAGCTAATGATCAGATATTTTGATATATATATATATATATATATATATATATATATATATGTATGTATGTATGTATGTATGTATGTATGTATGTATGTATGTATGTAACTAGGCATCCTATATTATATGATCCAGGTACATTATTACTTGTATGCAAATTGTCCAACATATTTCATTCTTTTTTTAAAAAATAAACAGCAGAATTAATTTGATTGCTTTGTAGATAAATGATATGAACATGATTTAAATGATGTTGTAGTTTTCCAGAATGATTTTTGTGGTTTTTTTTTCTAGGGACTCCGGAGGATTATTCCCAATATTTCAGTATGAATGCTACCACTGCTAAACTCAGCCTTCTAAAGCCGATAAACAGGGACTTTCATCAGAAATTTGATTTGGTTATTAAGGTAATTTTTTTTATTTCAACTTTGTTAGATATTGGCATCTATGTAAAACTGTCAGTTTATAATGAAATATTTTCAGAGAAGTAAAGCCCCTTAAATATATTGACTTATAATTCATCAGTTTAATGTGAAAATGGAAGTAATCAACCCACATCATTATAACAACTATTTTGATTAAAATGCTCATTGGGAGAAAAGTTATCTATTTCATACTTAAGAACAGTTTACAAACTCAGTTCCAGATTTCCAGACATGCAGCGAGTATTGTGATTAATAGCTGTACATATAATGCTCAGTCAGAATGAAATCTATTCACATTTGCTCCCAGGTTCAGAATTTTAACCTAAGTCATATTTTTAAGCTGTGTTTCAACTGTGTCTTGTGAAATATAGAATTTAAAATATCTTACAAAGATAGGATTAAATTATTACTTGCCACATTGAGTCATCCTGATTTAATATTAATTTAATATTTCACTTTCAGTGCCTCCTGATTTTGCAGTTAACCTGGGCAGTTTACAATTATGTAAAATAACACATAGGCTTTTGAACTATTTGAATGAAGAGAATGATATAACTTGGCCAATTTCTGCAGTATAATATATGAGATGCATAGCAGTTTAATTGACAAATTTGTTTTCCTATCTGCTGATAAATGTCTATTTTATTTTATCCAAGTGTTTTTAATGCATTGGTTATTAACTGCATTAAAGATTCTATTCTATTCTTTTCCATTCCATTCCCATTCCAAAGATAAAAGTTTTTATCTTTTATATTTAAGCTTTTGTTAGCATGCATGTGCATGTCTGGTAAAAAAAAAATACCAGTATTTGATTACAATTATTCAGGTTTTTAAAATTATTCTACATTTTTTCATTTTCATTGCATGTAAGTTCTTTGGATGTTCAAAATGCAAAATTGGAATTGACACAATAGTTTTACATAGTTACATGTTCAAATTCAATGTGGCAAAAGCCTATTCATTAACACTGAAGCAGTTGGTGCTGGTATAAGCAGTAACATAGCTATATACAATTTTAAAAAAAACATTATAGTTTTCTATGGTCATCTTCTAGTGGCTTTATAACTGGCTACAATTATATACATATACATATACATATACGTATACGTATACATATACATATACATATATAAATATATGTTTTCTTAAGTTTTCACGGGTATTTATATGTATGGAATTCAGCTTTGTTCGGGTATTTTCTCGCGTCATTGTAGTTGTGCTTTTAAAGTTGTAGCAACGTTTCGGCAGAATCTCATCTGCCATCATCAGGTTTCTGTATTGTATTCAAACAAACAAACAACTACCATTCCTAGATGTACTAATCTACAAAAAAACAGATGGCACAGTAGGACACACCATATACCAGAAGAAAACACACACCAACTCAATGCCCAATCCCACCACCACCCAGCACAGATAAACTCTGTGACCAAAACACTAATTGCCAGAACCAAACGCCTGGCAGACGAGACACACATATGTACCCTGACTAAAGTACTGACAGCTAACGTACTATGTACCCTGACTAAAGTACTGACAGCTAACGGCTTCCACAAAAACTAAATCACTGGCCTGATCCACAAAAACACACTGAGACATAATGGAGACCTAGAAGATGAACAGACCTATGGAACAGCTGTCCTGCCTTACATAAGAGGTACCACAGACAAAATCAGTAAGATACTACATAGGCATCACATCAAGACTGCCTTCAAAACAGACAGAAAAATAGCAGCCATCCTAAGAAACCTCAAAGATAAAATTGACCTGGAAAACCAAGGCGTATATGAATACAATACAGAAGCCTGATGATGGCAGATGAGATTCTGCCAAAACATTGCTACAACTTTAAAAGCACAACTATAATAACATGGGAAAATACCCGAACAAAGCTGAATACTATATATATATATATATATATATATATATATATATGCATTATTAGATTCAAATTACTGTGATTATTTTGCAGCTGAGTGGATAATAAGCAAGGGTATCAATCTATAAGACTAATAATTGCCACATGCTTTAGGTACATCAGTGCTTCATTTAGCAGTGTTAAAAGATACTAGAAATATATGGCATATCATCTTGTACAGATATAGATTTTTTATAATATGCATCTCAGCAGAATAATGTAGTTTAGACTTCAATATGTGCTTTTTTCTCAAAAGTAAGACTAACATTTAAGGATTTTTTTTATTTTTTTATTTTTTTTAAGAATAGTTGGATTCACACTTCATTAGATCCAAAATCAGAACCAACAAGCAACATTATGGCTTAATATGTATGAATCTAGTGTGGGTTATCAACACTTCTCCATTATTATCCTTCATTCAATTATAATTAGAAAGTCTCCCGTTTGTAATGTGTTTGCTCTTTATGTTTTCACCCAAGAGAGATTAAAACATCTCTCTCCCTGTCAATATTTTGCTCTAAAATGTCCCTTTTTTGCACATTCAGAAAAGCTAACAAGAATAAGAAAGCATATCCACTAAGCAAGAACTACATCACATTCCCTTGGGGATAATGCGGGATTAGACTACTTTCCTTTCAGAGTCACTAATCAAGTATTTTTCACCTTCTCTATGTTTCAGAGGAAAAAATCAAGGTAAAATTCTTAGGCAATCCTTAAGGCTAGAGGAAGATAAAGCATGTTTATTTAGACTGTCTCTTTCCTAGCGACCGCAGCACTAGCCTGAGAGAAGTAAAGACTGTAAGATGTTGGAAACATTAGCAATGATTCTGAACATTTATCTTTATTGCTTCCCTTGAGTTCAGTTCAACTTTGGGTGATTACATGGCCCAACCATCTAATTTTTATGTCAGTAATCTGATATAATGTAGTCCTGCCAAAAATGTAATAAGGGTTAACGGAGAGCAGTTTCTGTAAGCAACACCAGAATGTTTCCTTCCTGCCTTCCTTACAGGATTAGGCCAGTAATTTCTTCTAACAATCGGTTCTCCGAATTGCTTAGAATGTTAACAACCGGTTCTAGCGAATAGGTGAGAACTGGTAGAATCCCACCCCTGCTGCTAATCTGTTAGAATTCCTTGCAGCATTAGAACCATCACTGTCTCACTTCTATTCTGTATACCTGCAATGGTAGCCAAACTAATCTTGAACTATCTAGATGAGGGCTGTCAAACTCGTGGCCTGCAGGCCGGATGTGTCATGTGCTGGCCATGCCCATGCCTGGTTTAGCAAAGGGGGAAAAGCTTGTATTGTGGTGGTATTCTACCAGTTCAGCCCGGTTCTGCCCAGCCAGTAGTGGCAATGAGCAGCGGAGACAGAACCGGTTCTCTCCACCGCTCTGCTGTTGGGCCCACCTGCCCATCCGGGCTCTGATACTCACCTTTATCCTCTGCTTTTGAAGCACAGCTGCTTTGCATGGCACAGCAGAGTGCTGCATGGCAGCTGCTGAAGCAACCAGGAGAGTGCAGGCTTGCAGGAGGTGAGCTGGAACGCCTCTGCGCCTGTGCAAACGCATCTGTGCCTGTGCAAACACCTCTGCACCTGTGCAAAGTGTGTGTTTGGCATGTGTGGGCGTGCAAAGTGTGTGCATGCATACAAAGTGCTCCCACCAAGCCACACCCACCGAACCGGTGGTAAAACTTTTTGAATCCCACCACTGTGCTACATCATGTGACGCCGCCATGATGAAGCGCGTTTGATACCTCTGGTCTAGATACTAAATCTTTTCATCAGTTTATTGCATGGCTTGGACATTCTACTAATCCAGGGTTGTTGTTTTCAACCTTTTCTCATTCTAGTAAAATAAAGCTACCAAGTCAAATAGGGAAGTTGGTAATTTTATTTAGGAAACAAATGTGAAAAGGTCCAGTATGTAATTGGCTCTGGCAGTTCCTTTGCAGAGATGCTTCCCTCTTTTCTCTAGCAGTCCCAAAAATTGCCAAGTGACTTTAAACACCTACAAAAAAATTGACATTATTTGTGGAATTTTGCTGGCTGCCTTTAATCTCAAGAATTTCATGGGACAAAATTGCCAGATGCATTGGTCCTATCCCTGGTGAAGCAATGGATAAAGTACAATATGGCAAGCAAACTCTGCCCCCAGCCTGGAGTTTGCTTCTGATGGGGTCAGGGTTGACTCAGTCTTCCATCCTTCCAAGATTAGTAAAATGAGGACCCAGATTGTAGGAGGAAATATGTACATAAAGCTTACATTATAAACCACCCAGATAGTGCTGTACAATACTATAGGGCAATATGTAAGCCTAAATGCTATTGCTATCGCTACCTATGCTCTATTGAGTAGTTTCAAAATTATATATTTTATTGATCCCTCATTTATAGAACTGAGACATATATTACCTTGAAAAAAATGTAGAACCACCAAATATTCATATTCAGAATCCTCTTTGTAAGTTCTAATTCTTACACTGATTTCTTCTGAGTAGATGTATTCATTCAATTTGAAGCAAAAGGCAGAATAATAGTTCATCTAAAACTCTGGACTTTGCAAATAATTTTTGCTGTAATTGCATCTTTTATATCTGTACACGTATTATCAAAGGGAATAGCGTTCCTTTTCTGCCAGGAAGAAATGCTGGTTTTAAAGAACAAAGCAACTGGGTTTTATAGCTTTGATATTTTTGAAAATAGTTTTCCAGGGGAGAAAAATCAGTTGTTTACTTATGAACAAAACAAAAAGTTGAATGAATACATAATTCCATTGTTTAGAAATGCTTAGTTTTGTCTGATTTCTGGTAATCTTTATTCCCAAATGTATTTGTTTTTAAAAATACACTTTTTAAAAATTACAACAGCTTTTTAAAAGTTTAAACATCCATATTTATCCATGCAAATCTATCTGATTTGATATATGCCATCAAATTACACTGTGTAACAAATTTCAATTAGTTTTTGTTCCTTGTGACAAAGTGTGTTTTCCTAATTCATTAAGCCTAAATTAAATAGAAAATAGCTATTTTCTCTAACTGCTTAAAAAAGATAAAAAACATCTGTTTTGTCGATATAAATATGAAACTTTTGTAAGTTGTGGTTACAAAATCAAAGTTTGTGACGAATATAGCCATTTTTGCATAGGTTTTAGACATAAGCATGTAACACTTAGAAGCCAGGAACAAAAATTGTGTTGCCTAATGTTGTTAATTGTTAATGACACACAGATTTTTCTCCCAAAAGATCACTTCCCAACCTTGTCATTCAGGTCTTCCAATGGTGCGTCAATAATAACTATAACTGAGTCCATTTGTTGCTAATCATCCTCTTCTTTCTAGTTCCACTTTTTCCAGCCTTAAAGATTTCTAAAGAGAGACAATTCTTTGCATAATCTGTCCAAAATATGATATTTTGAGCATGATCACTCATGCACTGAAAACTTAACTCTGAACTTATTTGTTCTATGAGCTATTTGTTTTATTCACTGTTGATTGTATTCTCAGGTGTGTGTTTTTCATCACCAAAGTTCAAAGGAGTTAGTAGACTTTTTATCCTGCCTTTCCTTTTTTTTTCACTTCCACAGACTACCTGAAAGAAAACCTTCACCTGTGTATAGACTTACCTACCTATTTCCTAATGAACCATGTAGTTTTGTGATACATTTGTAGTGTAGTGTTAATATGACTGTCCTGGGTATAATGTTTATTTTTTTTGAGTTAATGAAAGACTTTCATTCAGGAAAAAAAATCTATATAGTTTGTGACTTGCTTCTAGTAATTCATCAATATGTGATAAATTACTGGCATCTAACTTTGCTACATAATTCAGCTGTAGTTAGAAAGAAACACAAACAAGTCAGTAAAATGTATAGCCACTCTAAAAGACAAAATTAAAAGCAATTAATGTTAAAAATGACAGCAGGAATTTATAGTATATTAACCTTTTGCTTTTTCAGGCTGAACAAGACAATGGCCATCCTCTTCCAGCCTTTGCTAATCTGCATATTGAAGTTTTAGATGAAAACAACCAGAAACCTTTCTTCACCAAATCAACATATGAAGGCTTTATTTCAGAATCTTCTCCTGTCGGTACAACTATTTCTGATAATCAGAACCTGACATCTCCACTGCAGATCATAGCTTTAGATAATGATGTTGAAGAGGTTTGTATTTGATCATACCAATTTGTGCTTTGGGGGATATGCAACATATATTCCAAATGTTAGATTCTATTTAGTCTCCATGCTACATATAACATGAAAAAACCCCTAAGATTTCAGACATTTGAGAACTAGTTATTAACAATTTATCCTTCTATTAAATTTTTCATGTTAATCATTGATGTCTAGGATGTATTCCAAACACAATACACTGTATTCCAAACACAATAAATTTTCCCCAGAGGATTCAGCAAATGAAGTAGCTTTTGCCTACAATGGAATCAAAATAATATGGATTATGGGCCCCAATTAGTTTTAATTTGGCCTCACTCAATGACCTCACTCAAGCCACTAAACAAATTCATGCAGAAAGAAAGGTTTAACAGAAAGAAGATATTCTTAAGACATTTTGGTAACTCCATACAATATTATCTTCTTAATATTCAAAGGAAAAATGAAATGGTTTCTACTCTGAGGAAAGAAAGTTGAAATTCTCTGTGAATTAAAACTAGAACATGATTTCACACATATGTATAATCTGAGGATAATGACTTGCTATACTTTTAAAAGTTATGAAGTAGACACATTTATCCCCAAAAGAACTACACCTTTATTTAAGATGACTCCTAAATGGGAAATAGGAGAAAATATAGCTAATTGCAATGCTTTATCTTGTCAAGGTTGCTGAAATATATTTTTTTCCACAGCAATAAATATGTCCATGTCACACAGATACACATACCTGCCTGTTGGGAAGCCACAAGTTGTATAAAATACTCTGCTTATCCTATTTAAAGAATTGTTTACGCAGTGTACTTTAACCATTCCAACTCACACATAAGAACCACTTTCACACCAAAAAAACACCAAAATATATCATCACACGCAGCTGCCTTCCGTTTCCTTTTGGCAGAAACAGCAAAAAAGATGGTGAAAAAAAGAACCTAATAAAAGAGATAGGAAGAGCTGCATTTGAAGAAGAAAGGGAGAAAAAGTGGAAGAAGAGATAATAGAAGATAGAAGGAAAGAAATTTAAGGGAAACCAAGTTTAAGAGTTGGGGGAAAAAGTTAAAACTCAGTATGCACAGTTAATCTTAAAAAACACTGATGCCTTTCAGCAATCCGCAGTGTATTTTATTCTTAGTCATGCAGGATTACCTCTTTAAGTCTCAGGTAATTATCAAGGTGGGGAGGAGAACTCCTCTTCCCATTGGTAAATATGATATATCTTATCTTTCAGTAGTGAGAAAAGCTACTCTTCTTATGTTTTAATCCCTAACTGATCTGCAAACCGTCTTGGTTGCGCTTTTTGCTTTGTGCGTAGATTTTTAGATTTGCATGCATTAAATGTATTTATTGATTCTATTCTACTTAGGCACTGCCCAGGTCCAATAAACTCTGGGGGGCTCATAGTATCAGAATAAAACAACAGTGCACAAGCAAATCAAGTGTGCAAACCTAACAGCAGATCCATTCAGCAATACAAATGGATCAAAACTTCCTAGTGGGTTCTCAGCAACATAACCTAGATATTTATATATCCCTTACTTCCCTCAAAACACACACTCATAGACCCTTTGTTTCTTCAATCATACGTTAAATTGGTCCCTGGTTTTGTTTTTAAAGCATGTACATTTACATGCTTGACAGTGAAAAGCTAACTAGTTGAAATGAATGCTGTCATTTGTATCATTTGAAAAGTTTGGATGTTACATTCTAAGTATCAGTCCCTGGAATATATAGTTGTTTGTTAAAGAAACTAAAATAAAGACAAATAATTTTCTTTTAAAAACAATCCAAACAATTCTGAATGCCATTTATGGTTTAAAGTTGGGATAATATTGTTCAGCAGCATCTTGCATTGCATGGGTGGGGGGAGGGAGTTTATACAGAAGATCAATTCAGAATTTCCAGTTTCCTTTGGGGGAATTCAATTCAATTTGCAATTTCAATACTATTGACATTAGGTTTACCATGTTGAAATTTCACAATGACAAAGAAATCACAGTCTGGGCTGTGGATCATTTGTAAATGTTAGTAACTTACCAGTGTGCTCAAAAATCTAAATCGGTGTCCTCAAGCACATTAGTTAATCCAGCATGTCTCAGTTATACAGCACATGCTGATTTCGTTACATTTTTTAATTAACTTTAATAAACTTATCTAACTTATTAAAATCAAGTACCACTCACAAGCTAGGAAGGAAGATCATGTGTGATTCATTTACACAATGAATATCATCCCATATTCATAGTCATGCTGTTTAAGATATAATAATGAATAATTGAAAATCCACAGTCATCATTAACTCATCTCCATTGGCTTCAGAATAAATGCTGGACAAACCAAAAGGCCCGATATAATGAAAAACAATGAAACGCCTGATACGTAATATAAGGGGAAACGATTTAATACATCTCTATCTGTTTTTAAGAGTTTTTTCCTTTCTTTTAGCCATCTGAGAACTGGCATTTTGTTGTAAATTAAAATTCAGACAAATAATTCAATGGGGCAAGCAACACATCAGCAGAAAAACAAAATCATATGAGTCCCAGTCCTTCAATCATATAATGGAAACATATTAAGAGAAGTTTAGTGTTTGATATAATAATTCATTTCAACCTATAATTGTAATCTTTGTACCAAGATGTCTAAAGTTCTTATAATGAATGTTGGTCACCCAGCTTTTTTCTGATTTCAATAGATTATTTTACTGGGTAGTATGTGTTACACAAAGGCACTAAGTACTTCTACTTACTCTATTTATTTGTTTATTTTTGCTTTTTAGATTCCATCAGGTGCCATTCCTGTAGGTATTTTAAGTGTGCCTTCTTTTTGTTGTATTACTTTTACCTTTTACCTCTTGGAGTTTTTTTTAAATTAATTTTCTTTCACACAAAAACTATTTTATACAATGGTGTTTGAACAATCACAATTCTTTGTGCTTTCTTTGAAAACTGCTCGTTGTTAAAGCAAATTTTATCATTTGGTTTCAAAGCTAAAACTAGATTTGATACTCTACTCATTTGCTGCCTTTCTAATATTGTCTTCAGAGTTCCAAACAATATTTTATTCTCTATTTTCAAAAATGAAAACTGAAAGCTTTCATTTTCCCATACAACAAATATAAACTAGCTGATTACAGCTTGTTGTATTAATACTTATTTGTTATTTTACTTGCCAAACAAATTTATATGGCTGACCATCGATCAAAAAAAATAAAGCACACATAAATTAAAACCAGAATATAATTAGAAAAATTATTATTTTTTAAATGTATTCTTTCTTTAATTATATTTAATATGCTTATGAGCAAGAACCACTTAATGCAGTAAAATCTACCTCTATAACTAGCAGTAGAAGCATGAGTTAATATTTTTCTTGATTGTTCTTTGTGTCTGTGTTTCTATAGGCAAACATATTTTGATCGAAATGCAGGAATAACCACATCTTTTTTTTTCATCTTAAGCTATATTATTATTAGGCTATTTTGTAATACTGTACTCTTTTCAGCATCTCTTCTACTTTCTGTGTATATATAGCAGTCTTTTCTGTGATACTGTTTGACCTCCAGATTAATGTGTAAGAGAAAACCAATGTGGGAGAGGAATATATCAAGAATAAAACAAAATCATGTAGTTCTTTCCCTGATTGCTAGTTCCTACCACATGATTGCAGTGGTGTGGTTATACTCCTGAAGTATACTGTATGTCTGACCTTACTAGGGCTACCAATCCTACACTGTAAAAACACAGGTAACCACCATACAGCAACAAATATATAGACACACATAAAGACTGAACTATGCACCCTGACTAAAGTACTGACAGCCAACAGCTTCCACAAAAGCAAAATCACCGGCTTGTTCCACAAAAACACACTGAGGCATAATGGAGACCTAGAAGATGAACAGATCTATGGAACAGCTGTCCTGCCCTACATAAGGGGTACTACAGACAAAATCAGGAAGATACTACACAGGCATCACATCAAGACTGCCTTCAAAACAGACAGAAAAATAGCAGCCATGCTTAGAAACCCCAAAGATAAAATTGACCTGGAAAACCAAGGCATATATGAAGTCCCCTGTGCATCATGCCTGGCCACATACATTGGACAGACCAGTAGAAGAATAAGTACCCGCCTGGATGAACACAAAAATGCAGTAAAAAAGCTGGAACACACTTCCTCACTAGTCCAACACATGAAAGGTCATAGTATCAACTTCAATGGCACCAAAACCCTAGCCACTATAGAAAACCCCAGCCACAGAATTATCAGAGAAGCCATAGAGATTGAAAAAAGACCTGAAAGCATGAATAGAAGAGATGATTCCACCAGACTGTCAATTATTTGGAAGCCTGCACTCACAAACAAAAAAATCTCCACACCACAAGCCAGGCAAACACCTGGCCAGAAACAGATCCCCCCTGATACCTCCAGTTCAAACACACCCCAACCAGGCACCCAGATGAAACCTAGCTTCCTAACAAATGATAGCCGTCCATTTACTCAGAGCCAAGCTGCACTAACAGCCTCCAATACAGGAACACAATGTTGCCAGCCCACCAAGACAAAAAAAAGCCACAAAACAGACAGAAGATATTAGAAACACCAATCAAGCAGAACACAGCAAACTCCAAGACCAATAAACACAGACCAAGACTCCCAAGCAATCAGGATGAAGAAAAAACCATTCTGGCACAGCAGTAGGCTAGCCCCAAATTTAAAACTGAAGCAACTGTAAAAGTCTGACTCACAGACGAACACAATACAGAAGCCTGATGATGGCAGATGAGTTTCTGCCGAAACGTTGCTACAACTTTATATATATGTGTATATGTATATGTATATCCCCTGGACTGAAAACTGACTGATTTAACCTGTGAATGACTTTGGACTGCTTATTTTGAACTTTGCTTAAATCTTTCCAGAAGTAAAAACCTACATTTACTGTACAGTGTATCGTGTGCTGTGTGTGTATTATTCAAACACTACTCTCAAATACGTCTCCCTGTATGTGCTCATTCTCCTAACGGGGAATTACCTCAACAGGGGTAATTTAACAACCGGTTCTCCCAGGTCAGGTTGGCCATCATGGGAGGCTCGTCCCACAGGTGCAGTGGAGCTACAGGATGGGGATGGGCCATGCCTCTCATGACAGCCAACCTGACCCTTGGAGAACCAGTTGTTAAATTATTTGAATCCTACCACTGCTTCAGGAGTACTGTCCCTTGCTATTTCTGTGGTTCACAGTATTGTCTTACTTATTCAGAGGTGTACAGTTAACTATTCTGCACAAAATTGGAACAAATCAGGTCAAGAATGAAATTCAGGAATATATAGAGAAAAATGTACTATTTCTGCAGGGTGTCTGAGTTGCTTATTGTTAATTGTTTTCTATCTCGTCATCTTTGATTATCATGTTAAAGTATGGATTGTCAATCTATGCTACACTGAAGGCAATTTGTCAGGTTGATTGTTTTTTCAATATTGTTAACAGTTCCGTAGTGATTGTTCACATACAAGGAAATCATATGAATTAAACTGGAGGGATCCATCACTGTCATTCTTGTAGTCTGTATCTCCAGATGATATGGGCCCCTTTCTGTTGTTGTGTTTTTAAATGCATAGCCCTAAAAATTAACATCACAATCTTTTGTTATATATTGCAAAATCCACAGCGCCAAACTAATTGCCAAAATTTGAAAGCTACTGTGCTTTCCAACTGCATTAAGCATGCTGGCAGTTTTCTCAAGACCTTAAATAAAGGCTGGTTTGTTTTGAATCAGAAATTATCCTTTTTCCATTATTGTATTAAAATTCAGGTTGCTCACAATTGGCTTCTGTGGTGAATATATTGTATAAATCAAATAGGTATTTTGCTATGGCCTGAGGTTTTTGTTCATATAGCATGGGACTAAAGTTGTCAACCTCCCCTTGCTTTTTAAGTTTGTTATAGAAATTATTGTTAATTACCAAATTATCCTAAACCTGCTATGATCAGAGTCTTAGTTACCGATGGAAATAATAAAGGTTTGTCTCTCATATTTTGGTTAAAAGCAGGGAACTGGGAATAGGCTTTTATTTTCCAATATCTCCCTCCAATTCAAAAGAGAAATTGCTATTCCAGCAATTTATGTTGATTACAATTTTCTCCTGAATATTATTGTTAGTACAGATATCTAATGTTATCATTAAAATAGTCTTGATGTATATATATTATTATCCCTTTGATAATGTAATTATCATTTTGTTTTATTTTGAAGACAAAGGACCCACTGCTCCATCTGTTTCTAAATGACTACAATACATTTTTCACTGTGACTCAGACTGGAATAGCCCGCTACCTCACCTTACTTCAGCCAGTTGACAGAGAATTTCAGCAGTTATACACATTTTCGGTAAGTGATGGGGATTTTAAGAGTTTTGTCAGAATGGCACTGGTAATCTTGTCAACTATTGCAAAAGCTAAGTAATTGAAATTTAATTTGGCAGAGATCTTAGGAAAACTTGTTAGAATTTCATAGAATTGAACAAGCTATGGAACATAAAACAATAAAATGATCAGACCTTGCACAACATATTAAATAGCAACACTCTAAGTAAAGTTAAAACTAACAAAACTATATACAAGTTTAGCTGATGGGTCTCTAGTTGATCTGGCGAAGTGTTTAATATTCAGCCATACAGCTGGAAAGGTAAGAAATTTAGGCTTAACCAACTCATTGGACTTCCTGAGAAACACTTGGAATGTTTTCAAAACAAAGTTAAAAACAAATGAAAAAAAAACAGGACCATGGGATTCCCAACAGATAGTTGTCCAAATTCTGCTTGAAACTATGCAGTGAAATCTATCTACCTTTAATTTAAACCATCTCTTCTAGTCTTGGCTCATGGCAAATGATTAATTGTTGCCCCTGCACAAGTGATGTGTGTTTATCTCCCGGAATTTTTTGGTCATTTACTGAATGTAGCCCTCATGCTTCAAACCAAAAAATTATAAGAAATACTGGAATACTTCAGAGTGTGGGTATTGGGTGTATCTTACAGATTTTTGACTTCAAATCATGAAAATAAGTGCATACCATTGTATAGAAGTCTTCTGTTTTTACACAATGACAGTATACACCCTCCTGTATATGTTGGCTATATTGTGAACGTGAAAGAAATATACAAAAACATGAAGATGTTGTTGAAGCACATTCAGTACACCAATTACAACTGGAATGGCATGGAGATCTAAAAGTAATGGCTGCGCTGCTTGAAATGCAGCTCAGTTACACCAAGTGATGTTGTTGCATGTGTAAATAGGACAGCCATGCAAGAGGCTCACAATAGATTAAACAGGAATAGACCCTCTGAAAGAATTTGGTTCTACGTTAGAAAACCATGGCATATAAACTACTCGTTGATCTGGCAAAAATATTTTTTGACTCACATAAAATTCAGACTGATGAAAAAATTGTGAAAGTGATGAACAAGGAAAAATGAAGACTTTCATTATTTGAGACTGATATTTCCAAGAATAACTGATGCCAAGATTAAGGAAAGCATTTTTGTTGGTCCACAGAATAGATACATCATCAATGACAAGTGGTTCGAAGATCTGTTAGTGGAGCCAGAGAACACCACCTGGAAAGCATTCAAGGATGTTCTTGAAAAATTTATTGGCAACAACAGAGCATCAAACTACATTCAGCTGGTTGACAAAACTTGTTACAGCATGGAGTGCAATATGTCACTGAAGATTCATTTTCTGCATTCATACTTGGACTCCCCTCCCCCTCAATAATCTAGCTGCAGTCAGTGATAAACATGGACATTGCCACAATGGGAAAATGGCATCAGGGTAACTGGAATTCATCAATACTGGCTGACTATTGTTGGACACTGCAGTGAGATGCATTTGACACTGAATGCAATTGAAAATCAGCAGCAAAACACTTTTAACCCTGTTGAATTCATGCAGTATGTCAGAACTTTATGCTGTTAAGGTACATTATAGTCATTAGAAGTTAATTTCATATTTCTCAAGATTCCTACATGATACAATCATTCTGAAATTATGTCTGTGTTCCATTTGAAGGGATCTATCATAAGCACCAAACATTTTTCAGGAAGCAAAACATTTTGATTAAAAATGGTTGGTGACTAGGATTAAGGACAAAGAGAAAGTTCACTCAACTGCACTCAGTTTTTCTAATATGAGAGCTTTGCCTCTTGAATAAGGTACAACAACTCACCAGTAAAGGGAGTCCTTACTTAGCGACCACAATTGGGATCTGCAAATCATGTTACCACAATGGATTTATGGCATCAATTCTCTCTTGGTCATTTTCACTGCAGTTGTTAATAATCATGACTTGCAAGTTTTTTTTCTGCCTTCTCCATTCATTCTTCTTGTCATAAGCTGATTGGGAAGTACACAAACAGCAGTCACATGTACTTCAGTTGCAACATGCCCAAATGGTAATCACATGGCCACAGGAATTGCAACATTTATAAATGATTTATAAACAAGGCATGAAGCTGTTGGGCTTTTTCAAATCTCCCATCCTTGAAATTACCATTGCTGCTAATTACTTTATCTTTGAAGTATTTTTACTTTCATTTACAGTATTATATTTTAAATTGTCAATTGTTTGTTGAAAATAATTGTTAATTGTTAATAAAAACCTCTTATGTAGGTTTTATTCCTGGTAGTTTGGTCTAGAAAGCTAGAAAGCAGGAGATTGTGAATTAAAGTCCTGCCTAGAAATGAATACCTGCTAGGTCAGTTTTAAGATAGTCACTCTCAGCCCAACCCACCTCATAGGGGTTTTGGTTGTAGGAGAAGATAGGTGCTTCCTTGAGTTATTTGTAAAAACAATAAAAGTGGGATATAAATTAAATAAATAAATAGTTATGTGCCTTTTTATCAATGTCTTGATAAAATTCTAGCCTTTAGGTACTGTTTTTTCTGGATAATGTTTGTGCTTTCTAATGTTGTAGCTTGCTATGCTCTTATTTTTTTAAGAAGCCAACTATTTAATTTTCTGGGTAGTGATACCCATTAAAATCAATCAGATCTAAAATGAGTCATTTGAAATAGGAATTAAGCATTCACCATCCATAATGGGATCTTTAAAGAATATCATAAAATAATCATTTTAATTTTAAATAACTTTGTTAAAGGCCAATGATTTCTTTTAGATGCAATTTTGTATGAAATGTATTTTATGCATATGAAATACATGCTTAGAGATGGCTTCAAAGGAATTGGTTTCTTAAATGTTCAAACTAGTTAGTAATTTAGTAATAACAACAAGAAGCAGAATTTTTTATATACATATTGATCACATCTATTTCTTCATGTCTGTTTATTCTGAAGATTACAGCTTCCGATGGGGTACAAGAAAGTTTGCCAGTCACGGTCAATATTTTTGTGCTTGATGCAAATGATAATTCTCCGACCTTCTCAAACATATCATATAATGTGAAGATCTACACAGACATGAGACCAGGAGAAAGTGTTATCAAGGTAATAGAACAGTTTCTTTTGTCAGCATTTTCAGCCATTTTTTAAATAAAAATAATAAGACACTTGAAAATAAATCTGTGTTATGGAACAAAGGGAGTTATGATATAACAAGAGAGAGAGAGAGAGAGGGAGGGAGGGAGGGAGGGAGGGAGGGAGAGAGAGAGAGAGAGAGAGAGAGAGAGAGAGAGAGAGAGAGAGAGAGAGAGAGAGAATCCAAATGCAATTATTATTGCTGTAAAGATCGGAAGTAATTTCTTTATATTCTGTCTTTTCTCATTTTTTCTTTTTTTCCCTTATTTTTCTCCTTTTTGCATTGCTTTGTTCTGTTCCCACTACTTTTCTTTTTTATTTACATGTTTGTTTTTTATAACTTTTATTAATTTTCTATTGTTTACATTTGTTAGTGCTTAATAAACATCATGTTGTCTGGGTAGTTAATTGGTTTAACAATACAGATTACATTCTTAATCTCCACCCCTTTTTTCCAACCACTACATTCCATGTTTGATAATATTCCTTGTCTTCTTTCTGTTTAATTTTCAATGTAAGCCTATCCATTTCTACACAATCTAGTATCTTCCTAATTATTTCTTTGTCTTGTGGTGTTTCTTCATTTTTCCAATATTGTGCAAATATAATCCTCACTGCTGTGAAGACGTGCAATATTAAATATATAGTTTTCTTATCAAGTTTTTTTCTGGTATTATGCCTAATAAAAATAGTTCAGGTTTAAAATCTACATGTTTCCCTATCATCTTTTCTAACCATGTATGTATTTTTGCCCAAAATTTTCTTGCTGTAACACCAGTCTACCATATATTATAAAATGTGCCCGTTTTGGGGTTACATTTCCAATGTTTGCTGGTCATATTTTTTTCTTTACATGTTTTGTTCTGCAAAAATATTTTATTAAAAAATAATTTAAAAAATGAAAATAAGTTTGCATAGGAGGAATTAACTGTTCTTAGGATCATAATCTCTGTTATTTGCTAGAATTTTCTAGAAACCTGGGCATCTACTAGAAAGTCAAATACACTTACAATAGGATAGGGTTGCTAACTAAATAGACTCATGTTTGATGAGAGACAAACTAATTACTCCTTCGCTGTTAAGCTGGTGTTGAAAAAATATTCCATTGCCAATATTACTAGGGTTATTTAGATAACTGACAAAAAGGTTACATTTTTAGCCCCAAAGGGAAAAGAAATATAATATTGTCTGTGCGTGAAGAATAAAGACTGTTATGCACATTACAAAGGACAAGCATAGGAAGCAGTGTGAGAAAAGGTTGTGTTTCTTGCTGTTGCTGAGAGGAATAATAATTTAATTTACAGATGAATTTCATTTGGTCTAGAACAGGGGTGTCAAACTCATGGCCCATGGGCCTGATGCATCACACGCTGGCCATGCCCACCCCTGGTTTAGCAAATGGGGAAAATGTCATGATATGTCAAGTGACGACAAAGTGATGCCATGTGTTTGACACCCCTGGTCAAGAATATCGGTTGCTTCAAACCAAAGTTGTAATATTATCAAAATAATTGCCACATTCCCTGTATAGTTCTGAATGTTAAACAAGATTAGAAAAGAAGGAAAAATAAGAAATAGCAAGAGAAGTGAAAATTAGGAAAGAAAAAAGAAAAATAGATTTAGATTACACCAATATCATTCATAATACCTCTAAATATCTTTTTAAGTCACCATTGCTTCTCTAGATTCATACACCAATTCATACACTGATTTTTCTTCTTCAGATTATCTCCTTTTGTTGAGTTTGTCAACTACATCCAACCATTAAATTTAATGTTTCCTCTCAATCTATTCACTCTTTCCTCCTTAATTTTTTTTAAAAAACAATCATTTCTTTCATTCTTTCCTTTGAAAAGATCAAATGTTGTTCACTTTTTTCTACCAGCATTTAGTCTTAAAATATATCCATCTATTTTCACATCTTTCCCCAAACATAATTCTGCTATTTGCTCTGTGTTTTGTCTTTTTTATATAACTTACATACAGGGGTAGGATTCTACCAGTTCGCACCTATTCGCTAGAACCGGTTGTTAACATTCTAAGCAGTTTGGAGAACCATTTGTCAGAAGAAATTACTGGCCTAATCCTGTAAGGAAGGCAGAAAGGAAACATTCTGGTGTTGCTTACAGAAACTGCCTCTCCGTTAACCCTTATTACATTCTTGGCAGGACTAGACTTCCTGTCTCTGGAACTTCTCTGGAGTTTTTTTTCCCCTCCTTTGCTGGTACTTTGCTTGTGTGGAGTGACCATTCAAAGTTACAACGGCACTGAAAAAAGTGACTTATGACCATTTTTCACACTTACGACTATTGCAGCATCGCCAGTCATGAGAGGTCAGGCGAAGAGATGCGTGCCTTGATACGAGTGATGTTGAATTGACCACGCCCAGCCAGTCATATGACCACCAAGCCATGCCCACCAACTAAGCCACACCCACAGAACCGGTTGTTAAAAAATTTGAATCCTACCCCTGCTTGCATCTATTCACTACATTTATCCTAAAAGGCTGTTGCTAGCTGAATGTAACTAAAACCAAATTATTGCTGAATTTTCCTTAACAAAATGTATTAAAAGGGTAAAAGACAAGGTTACCAAATTCTAAGTAACTGTAGTGTCTTTTCTTCAGAATCCAATAAGCCATCTTGAATAATTGCTGCAGTAGAAACCTGAGATATAAATCAAATGAATATATAAAAAAAACACTTGGGATTTCTCCCACTAGATTTTAACAAAGGTTGTCAGCTGTCACAAATAATGTACGTCCAAATGTTTTCAGAATACACATAGTGCTTCATAGCAATGGCCTGAATTTCACACAGTCTTCACATACTTCAGGTGTAAAATATGCATAGTGTTCTCTTCATTTAAAAAAAAAAATGAGCAAAATTCAGTTGATCTGACACAAAGTTTTCAATGTCAATGGAGATTCTCAGTCATTGAGGTCATAGTTGTCCCAAAGATGTTTTCCCCAAAAGGCAACTGGACTTTCTTGTTTTTCTTTCAAGGTGTTTTGCTTCTCATCCAAGAAGCTTCTTCAACTCTGACTGGATGGTAGGGAATGGAAGGATGTATACTCCTTGTAAACAGATAGTCATTTGCATTCTTTTAGAGAGTCGTTGAGGCTACATGGAGATTTATCTGTGTCCTCATGGTAGTAGTGCCAATGGGTGTAGAGCCTTCTTGGAACTTCTAAAAGGACTGTGTTGTAGACCAGAAATAGATGACTTCATATCCCCCCACTTCTGTTGAGAGAGGGCTGTTCAATTTTGATATAGATGGCCTCTTTCAAATCAGCGGTCCTCTCTATCCAAAATGTGGACAGCAGTTCCAGCTGTCTGCAAGGAATATAAATCCTTCTATTCCCAACCCAACATCTTCAAAGAAAAAGAAGAAAGTGCAGTTACCTCTTGAAAAAAACACCTTTGAGTTTTCAAAGTCAAGTTGTGACAAACAGAATGCACAGAATTAGGTTTTACAAATTCTGGTTGTATTTATATTATCTTCAGTCTCATGGCCTTCTCAAGTGTGTAAAGACTGGATGTACCTTTCAAGGAAGACCATGTTTTAATACCATGGGGACACAAATGCTCAGTCCTAATTGCACAGTGGCCAGTTTCACAGAAAGAATGCTTCTTACATACATAACCATGCTAAAGAAATGTGCTTTGACCTTATAAAAACCATTCTTGGATTATCTAAATTCTCCAGTTCTTATATGTTGTTGTTTTTGTCCAAAATTCCATGACTTTTTAGGCTTCACATGATATTTATTGAGAGGGTCTTCAATTTTATGAGGCACTTAGGAAGCCTTGCCTCTTGATAACAATGGAAAAGTATTTAATAAAATAGTCACATACTTAATCTTTTGATCATAAAATATATATCTTCATCCTCATTCTTTTAACACTGTATTCATTCTGTTCTCCTGTTTAAATATATAACAAATCCAGATGTGTTGTCACAGATTTCTCACAGATTTCTTTCATGCCTTTTTATTTTATTTATTTTTATTTATCAAATTTAGAAACTACCTGTCTCCCTCACAGAGGAACTCTGGATGCTGTACAAACAAATTTCTGTCCCTACTTTTTCCGCCATCCTTACTAGTGGTCAAGAGAGAGAGAAAATGAATTCTATAGCCATCCCACATCAAATTGAGTCTGAATGAATAATAGACGCAGTTTATAAATATTGCAGATCAATAAATAATCTCTTGCTCCATATTAAGTGTAAGGCTGAGACCACAAACAAATGAAGAAGCCATCTGCAGCAGCTATATACATTTTGTGGATGGCAGACCCCAATAATTTATTAATCCAAAGGTGTCAGCCACAGTGTTCCATGGCAATTTTCACAACACAATTCAAATAGCTAAAATAAATATATGCTAATAGCGAATGACTCTGAGAAATGGTCTTATTGAAGTGTAGTAGCTGGAAAGCAGAACTGCCTAAGCAAAACAACTGCAAGTTTCAATTTATATCAGCAGGAAATAATCACGTTAGGCATTTGGGAATGAGACCAATTTGCCCAAACTTTTTAGTTCAAGACAGATATTGAACTACAAGAGTCAAGATTTCTTATTAGCTTTTCCATGTTTTGGCCAAAAATATCTCTGGTAATGAGAGCTCTGTTCAGCTGAACTAACCTTTGTTTAAAAATGACAGTAACAAATGAAATGTGGCATTACTATAAAAGACACAGTATTGTTAAAGACAGGATGCAATGTAAGTTTCCTAGAGCTTTCTTTTTGCACGAAGCAAATCGGGCTTTCCTTGAGCGGTAAGCGAACAGATCCATCACTGTCAAATTGTGAGTACTTATTTTTAGGGAAGAAAATGACCGCTCCTGTATGAGGTATACAGACAGAGTAGAAAGGATCCTTGTTTTAACTGCTTTTAGAGATTCAGGAATGTCCAGGATCATATAAAACATTGCCTATCTACCGGAGACACCTGCAGTTCCTATATTCAGAATTGTAGGGCGGTATGACAGTTCTGTGATTTTAATGCTCCCTTTCATACACATTTTTGTCCCCTCCAAATGTTATTCAGATAACTTGGCATTTCAAGGCATGCACGTTTGTAAATTTAATTAACTTTGTTAATTTTGGTAGTTGTGATTCTACCAGTTTTCCTTTTCATGTTGTCAAAATAAAACTTGGCCTGGTTCCTAGTGTGTAATTAAATGGTTAGGACTGGGGGTTTTTTTGTGTGTGAAAGGCTTTGATTTATCTTCTTCTTCCCATCCCCTGAACTGGAGAAGGCCTATTATAACACTTTTCAAAGAAGCCTCCAATCTTTATTAATAGCATTAATTTAGGAGATCAGCAACTATGTGCAGTTCAACAAAGGAATGTTTACATGATTAAAATAATAGTTTCACAGTTTTAGCAAGAAAAAGGCATCTAAAGCGGTACTTTAAGACCGCAGCTGATGCTGTCAGCCATTCAAAAGATGAGTTTATATTTTGAAGGAAGTCCTACTGTGCTTAATTGGTTTTACTCCTTAGTAAATGAGTTTACTGTTGCATCTTTAAAGTAATTATTCTCAACAGAAACCACAGCATGCCTGTGGCTGTTAATCATTCAGGCATAACTTACATACAGAAGCCATGGGGAAAAAAATCCCACCCATCATTGTCCTCTCAAGCAAGAAAAGGTGGGCCTATTTGATGAACAGGTTGCTCCGTGTTAATTTAACTCCTGAGATGTTTCAGTTCCGAATGACTGGCCCAAGCTGGATTGTGTTCCTCTGAGACAATTATTGGAGGCATTATTGACTAGTCACTGGTGAATAGTATATTTTTTGCAGTTATATCCATTTTTTGCAATTGTCTCCATCCTTTCAACTCATTCTACTCCAATGCTTGTGAAAATAATGGTACACTTCAGAGCAAAATGGGATGTGATACAGTAAGCTTTTCAATCTGCTTTACTTTTTAATTTTTAATTACCTTAATTTTTTTTTTCATATTTAGCTGCCTTAAATGCCTCCAGATTTTTAAAATAGTAATGTAAAATGGTAATAAATGCTGATGTCCTGGGGTGAAGACATCCCTAGATATAACTCAATAATCTCCTGGGTTAACTATTTTTTTTCCTTTTCTTATAACAGTGTTCCTTAACCTTGGCTACTTGAAGAAGGGTGGACTTCAACTCCCAGAATTTGTCAGCCAGCATGACTGACTGAGGAATTCTGGGAGTTGAAGTCCACCCATCATCAAGTGGCCAAGGTTCTTTATATTCTTAGTTTATATTCTAGGATACAGTTTTTATATCATTTAGTAACATCTGATTGTTTAGGTCTGATATCATAGAATATAGCATAAGCTCCCTCTGATGTATTTTCTTGTGGTAAACCAACAATAAACCTAGAATGTTGATTCTTTTCAATTGCAGCTTACTGCCATGGATGCTGATGAAGGTCCAAATGGACAGATTAAATATGAAATCTTGGCTGGTGACCAGGGAGACTTCATAATTAATGATAAAACAGGCCTTATCACCATTGCACCAGGAATTACACTGGTAGTAGGTCGGTCCTACGCCCTCACTGTCAAAGCATCTGACAGGGCTCCACTGGCACAGAAAAGGTAAGTAATCAATAACTGTGACAGGGATTGGAGTCTTAGTGGACAACCAGTTAAATATGAGCCAGCAGTGTGTGGCGGCAGCCAAAAAAGCCAATGTAATCCTAGTCAAGATCAAGTAAGCTACTAATACCATTCTATTAAAGCCTTAGTAAGACCACGCCTAGAATACTGCATCCAGTTTTGGTCACCATATTATAAAAAAGCTGAGACTCTAGAAAAAGTGCAAAGAAGAGCAACCAGGATGATTAGGAGACTGGAGACTAAAACATATGAAGAACGGTTACAGGAACTGAGCATGGCTAGTTTAGTGAAGGGGAGACATGATAGCAGTATTCCAATATTTGAGGGGCTACCACAGAGAGGTTGGGCACCCTATTTCCAAGGCACCCAAAGGCCAAACATGGAATAATGGATGGAAACTGATCAAGAAGAGATTCAACCTAGAAATAAGGAGAATTTTTCTGATAGTGAAAACTATCAACCAATGGAACATCTTGCCCTTGGAAGTTGTGAGAGCTTCATCACTGGAGGCTTTCAAGAAGAGATTGGACTGCCATCTGTCAGAAATGGTGTAGGGACTCCTGCTTGGGTGGGAGGTTGGACTAGATGATCTACAAGGTCCCTTCCAACTCTTTTAATCTGAAGTCATACCTGACTTTATTGCTTTAGCTATCCAAGCTGAAAAATTAGCTTTTCAACTCTATGAAGAATTATGACATCAATGTGAATAATATTTTGGTGGTCAGGAATTTTACTGTCTGTGTATATTTATTTATTTATATGCCACATTTCTGAACTATCCATCTTCATCAAAGAGGAAGTTTGGATGGTGTGCAACAAAATGGTATATAAAAATAAGATGATAGAGTTAGCATTTTAGAATTAAAATTTGTAAAATTATAAAAAAGATTAAGGAAGGAAACATAGTTAAACCCTGTTAAAAAAAGATTAGTTTACAATACCGAAAGGAGGGCTCTCATGAACAGCAATTAACCCCACAACTACATATTCTTTTGGGTTCCCCATGCAGAACCAAGGCCAGGAGAGTGGGTGCCCACTTCATCTCTGGGGAGAGAATATTCCATAGTGTGGGGGCAACAACAGAGATAGCTTTCTTTCTAAACTCCACCAGAGTTCTTTAATTGGTGAGGTCTACAACATACCTTCTCTGCCTGACCGAGTGGATGTGATGCAATGGAACTGATTTATTAAGTGGATGAAAAGCTGTAGGAGGGGACCATTTATGGAAATAGGTGGAGATACGTCACATATGGAGTGGGATGGAATTTTCTATTCTATCTAGGTTATGATTAGGGAGCAGGTTTTCATTTTAAAAGTTAACTCTACATTGTATTTTATACTACAGTTTTTTTCTATTTTTTACATCTCAAGATAATAAGAATTTTTGCTGCTCTTTTTTTGGCAACCATATTATTAAAATTTGACAATACAATCAGAATGGGTTGTGGAGGCTGAAACTGCCCCTCATGCTGCAAAATATCCTGTTGTAAAAGAATAGTAAACCCAAATATTAGTCCTGGTGAGCTGACTTCTTTAAAAGAAGCACATCTACTACTCCTTTACCCATTGTATTTATTTATTTATTTGAATCCCATCTTTATTATTTCTACAAATAACACAAGGCAGTGAACATATCCACCACACCTTCCTCCTCCTATTTTCTCCACAATAACCCTGGGAAGTGAGTTGGGACAAAAGAGAATGACTGGCCCAAAGCACCCAGCTGGATTTCTTGGGTAGGCAGGATTTAACTCACGGTCTCTTGCTTTGTAGCCTAGTTGCTTGCAGCATAATGTTATATTTCTGCCTACTTGAAAATAAGCCTATTGAATTACTGGATCTTATTCCCGGGTAAGGATGTATAGGACTGCAACCCCATCCGTCCTTTTTTTTTTGCACATTTCAACCTGGATCACAAAGGAAATGAAATTATACCCAGCTCATACCTATCTTGATGCAGTAAGTTCAGTGGATCAAATATGGTTTGGTTTCTAAGAAAAAGCTAACTCTTGTTTGTTTAGCTAGTTAAGTATCAACCTAAAGGTCAATGATTTAAGTGTGTTAATTTTGCTTCACCTATATCAATGACTGTCAGCTTAAGGGACTGAGAAGGAGAGAAAGGAAGAGAGAAGCTTAAAGCAATGAAAATTGTAAATTCCCATATATCATTTAACGGTGATATCTGCAACTATCCTGGAACTGAAAGGATCACTGAGCTGAAAATATTTTTTTTCTCCCCAGGCAATGCATTCTTATGGTGTCCCTTAACTCAATTTGGAACACAAATTGCAAGCTATGCAAATACTGGACAAATAATCAAATATGCCCCACACTGGAACCAGCAACCTTATTCAGTTCCTAATTTCTAACATGTTGGAATTGGAAAGCATAGAATAGAAAAGCATGATTTTTTTTTTCTTGAATCAAGTATAGAGAAGAAACCTAATGAATGATTCAAAAATATACAGCACATAGTTAAATAGAAAAGGTTTAGTTTTGCATACAGATTATAGCTTGGAGGGAAGTGTTCAAGTGTGAATGTCATGTCAATATATTTCACAGAACAAAACTTAAAAATATACCATGGTTATATACATGATTACAAATACAGATTATTCTAACATTTAATATGACTCACACATCTCTGCTGCACTATTCAAATGGAATGCATTTGACATATTTGCTATACACGGAGGCCACGTGATGACTCTCCTAGAACCCAATAGGTCTTCTGGAAGCATTTTGGAGAATGTCGTGAAGGGTAACATCTGAAAACTCTTAAAAGCAACCATATCTTTTCTTGGAACCCTGTGTCTTTCTACTCTGCAACCCTACTTTTTTGGCAAAAATATATATAAAAAGAAATTGGTCATATTTCCAAAATCATGGAAAGGCATTTATACATTGAGGAAAGGATATAGAGGTCTTCAGTTCTGAACATTCTCAGTTTCTTTATTCTGAAAAATATCAAATAAACGTAAAAGGAAAATGCAGCAAAATAAAAGAAACATAAGCAACCTTTGGAAGTCCAAACCATATACACTGCTCAAAAAAATAAAGGTGAAACAACACAATGTAACTCCAAGTCAATCACACTTCTGTGAAATCAAACTGTCCACTTAGGTAGCAACACTGATTGACAATCAATTTCACATGCTGTTGTGCAAATGGAATAGACAACAGGTGGAAACCATAGGCAGTTAGCAAGACATCCCCAATAAAGGATGGTTCTGCAGGTGGTGACCACAGACCACTTCTCAGTTCCTATGGTTTCTGGCTGATGGTTTGGTCACTTTTGAATGCTGGCAGTGCTTTCACTCTAGTGGTAGCATGAGATGGAGTCTACAGCCCACACAAGTGGCTCAGATAGTGCAGCTCATCCAGGATGGCACATCAATGCAAGCTGTGGCAAGAAGGTTTGCTGTGTCTGTCAGCGTAGTGTCCAGAGCATGGAGGCACTACCAGGAGACAGGCCAGTACATCAGGAGATGTGGAGGAGGCCATAGGAGGGCAACAACCCAGGATCAGGACCACTACCTCCGCATTTGTGCAAGGAGGGACAGGAGGAGCACTGCCAGAGCCCTGCAAAATGACCTCCAGCGGGCCACAAATGTGCATGTGGCTGCTCAAATGGTCAGAAACAGACTCCATGAGGGTGGTATGAGGGCCCGACATCTACAGGTGGGGGTTGTGCTTACAGCCCAACACCGTGCAGGACGTTTGGCATCTGCCAGAGAACACCAAGATTGGTAATTTGCAGGCTTAGCTAGTGCTCTGGTGATCACATTAATCTCTACCTCTTTCATTCACTCCTCTTTCATCTTTCTGTCTTTCTCCAATATATTTCTCTCTCCAAAACATTTCCATCTTAGTAGAAGTACTTTCATTGGCTTTTGCTATGTGACATAGTCCATAAATCCTAGACCTGACTGAAAAGTTGAATGTGCGGGATCACATTTAAGTAGAGGGGCACTTTCTCTCTTCCCTCTACATACTTTTCTCACAATCGTTTCCACAATGCTTGTAGTAACAACATTTCTTTCCCTTACATCCTCCCAAAGAACTCTAGTTTCACCAAAAAAAAAAGGAGACTGTAGCTGTGCTATTCCTCTCCTTATGATGAGCCTTTCCTTAAGTGCAGCTATTCCCCCAATTTCTCTGCCTCAAAATAAATAGAAAAAAAATGTAATGGACAGTTCATGCACAGTTCTTTAATCATTTAGCTGCTTCTTTGTGGGAGTCTACAAAATTTTGGAATTTTGGATAGGGATGGAGGTAGAGATTAGATCCAACATATGTGATCTCATTTTGCTACTGTCTGAATTCCGAATAACATTGAAATAAAACACAATTACTTCCCCAAACCCCAAAAACTTTAACCTTAGACTGTCTACTATTGACCTCACCCCTTTCCTAAGAGGTCTGTAGGGGGCGTGCATAAGCGCACCAACGTGCCTACCGTCCCTGTCCTATTGTTTCTCTTATTCTTTTATTTTTCTTATATGTACCCATTTCATGTATTCACAACTATGTATACACTTATACTTATTATCTTGTAAACAATTGGCAAATCAAATCAAATAAATAAATAAATAAATAAATAAATAAATAAATAAATAAATAAATAAATATGTGGAAATCTATAAAGTGGACAATCCAAATATAATACTTAAACGTCAATGGCTTTAAATTATTCTTAGAAGAATATTGAGCAATTTGAGTGCATATTTAAATTTTGACTTATCACCAACCATGTAGCATTGTAAACATCTTAAATTCAAATATATCTTGATACCCATAAGGATTAGATACTTTAAAATGTAACTCTTCCTAAAGTGACAGAATAAACCCAGACTGTAAAAATTCTATTGAGCTGTAGTATGTACCACCTTAGATTTTTTCCCCTACTACCTGAATTAGAAAGCTGATTTTTTAAATCTTTTTTGCTGCTGCAGTTTTTAATGGCAGATTTCAAAACTCAATATTATATTAATTTTTTTTTAAATAAAAGTAAATATATTTCCATCAAAGTAATCTAATCAAGAACTGGATTCACAAATATGTTTATTTGAGCATTTCCCCCTCTCCCAAAAAACTAGGATAGCTTATTTTTGAGAAAGTATTACAATAATTAAGAGCATACTCCACATTATTTTAATCCCCACTGAGATAGCTTTCATATTATTTCATATTATTACTTAGCGCTTAAAGCTTGGTAGGAAATTTAAATTTTCTTAAGGCTCTTGCAGTCTCTTCAGTGCAGATGGGAATAGCTTTACCTATTTATCAAAACTACAACACAAATTAGAAGCTGCTGGATTGGGACTCTTTGTTTAGATACCCTGAATGCTTAATGTGTTATAACATTATATTCCATTATATTTCCCTTCGATAGAGGGAAAGTTATAATTTGATTTTTGATTGAATTTTCTTTGTCATTTCAGGAGTTCCATCACTACTGTTTACATTGAGGTACTTCCTCCTAACAATCAAAGTCCACCTCGCTTCCCTCAACAGATGTACAGTCTTGAACTCAGTGAGGCCATGCGAATTGGTGCCATTTTGCTAAATTTGCAGGTACAGAATGCTTCAATGTAAGCATTTACAAAGCTCTTTTTGTTTATGTGTAAGAGTTGAATTGTAAATTACTTCTGATTTTTCTTGGGCAACTTTTGCATTATAGACTGTCAAACTCTCAGCCTATCGTTCAACACTTTCCCCGTTGCTTTGTAGAATTATCTGTGCATGTTGCTACATCTGACGCTGATGAGATGAATAAGTACCTAAGAGTTTAATTTTGCTCCAGTGAAATAGCAGGCACTCCATAACACAGGCATTCAGTATTTGCTTATCTTTGATTTCATGTGATAGAATTCTATGGATCAGTTACCTTTTCAAGGAAAACACATTCATCACTGCAAATCTCATTGAGAGACCCTCACAAGATTTCTGGAGTCCAAAACTGCTGTTTTGCAGTATCTGTAATAACACTCATCCATCATATCATAGAGATCTTTTGGATCATTATGGAAAACTATTGAAACCAGTGAGATATCTCCATAGATAATGGGTCATATTCTGCATTCTTTCATCTCTTTACATGCAATAGTAGAAGATGTACTTTGCATGTAAGATTCAAGGTTACATTTCTTGTATTTACGAAAAGGGCAGAAGAACTTGTATTTGATACATAATAAAGCTGTACCAGTCAGCTTGTATTGATCAACGTCTTGATCCAGCATAGGATAACTTGTGTTATTTTATTTTAAGTTCTTAGAACAGCAAATACGACAGTTGTCCTCATGCTTTTCCCAACACTAACTTGAACGTTTCACAATTAAAGGGGGGAAATGTTCTGCTTTTAACAATTATTACCCAAGAGAACACTAATTACACTGAAAAGAAAGGAAAATATATATCAAGAAAATTAACATTTCATTCATTAGAGCATCTGTGGGCCATGGCACACGAGTGGGCCATAAGGGGTGTGCATCCAGGACAAAGAAGTGATCAGCGAACACGCATGCACATCCTCACTTGGACGAGAAGCATATACATATTCTCTATTTAAGTGAGCAGCAGGGCCATATGTATGTTGCTCTCACAAGTGTAGCTGCTCACTCAGAACCATCTCCCCTTCTCTCCAGCCCCCCAGTTCACAAAGTTGTTGGAAACATTGGGGAACTCTGCATTAGACCTTCTGTGTCAGGAGGCCCAATATTTCCACTGGAGTATATATGATAATTTTAGCCCATGCCACCATTTTCGTGCACAGAGGCCTAGTGCTTTGAACAAAATCATGCTTTTTCATTACAGCCTTGTCATGCCTAAAAACAGAAAGTTAGGGCAGTTGAAATTTTACCTCAGAAAAGCTCAGAATCCCAACAAATGTGCTTATATTGCAGCAGGCAACCTGCAGGGGCCAATTCTATGCACTTGGTTTGGTTTCAGTAATAGATTTCCTGACAGAAAAAGAACCTCCATCTCCTCAGGGCTGCAACCATTTATGGCCACTTCCTGCATCTGTACTTTTTGAAGCAGCCTTCTGGAAATAATTTCCAACACTGGAAGTATTTTAACATGAAAATAAATGGATTGGAAGGGGTTCACCTGTGTCACTTCTGTTTCTCTGGGTTTGTAGCTTGATCAGGACAATTGCTGAGAGTCATGCTTAGGAGGCAGGAGATAATGACATAGCCAGAAGGATAGAATCAGTAAGTTCAGTCTGATATTTTTTTTCCTTTCTATTTTTTAACTATATGGATTCCTTTATTCAAGTAACACTCACATTTTAACCTTATAATTTGTGGGCTCCAGAGACCACTCATGATGAAACTTGAGAGTCTTGTGTTCTGCAGTTGGACCCCACAGATTCAGGTGCTGAAGCTTCCCTAACATAATAATAATTCCCGATATTTGCCATTATTAGGCAAGATTTACTAAGAGCAAGTGACTTATTCTAAGCAATTCAAATACAGCCAAGCAAGAACAGGGATAGAAGGCAGAGTTCAGGCCTATCTGGCAAACAACAGCTCAAAGACTGATGGGGTCAGCAACATGCCTTACCACTCTGACTGGATGGGGGGGGGCAATGTGATGGGATGAAGAATAATGTTCAAGAGATATTTGCATCCAATGTTTTAATGATGATACATTTGGAAATTTGGAATAAAAATGTTCTTTGCTTAGATTATTTGTTCGTATGACTGATGCTGCACCAAGCACATTTAGATCATGTTTATAAACACTGCAAAAAGGATCTGGCTAAAATCAGTAATTTCAAAGCTGTGTTCCTCTATTTGTCACAACGAACGCAGAGGATTTTATTTGAGCGTAGACACTTATTAGATTTCCATGCCAGCGGTACTTTAATATGCTTAATTTTGACTGGAATGTGTTTTCTGCAATTAAACAGATACAGTTTGTTATTAACTTGCTTAATTAATGGTATTATGTAATCATTTTTTTTTCAAACCATCTGTTACTCTGTAGGATTTTTGTGTTGCATATTTTAAGAAGCATAGAAATAAGTGTGTGATTTAAACATTGCTATCGTTTATTTTACTAGTTTGTTAAAAAGTCAGTCATAAATATTCCCTTCTGCATCATTCTGAGAATAATGTGAAGAATATACTGCCTGTAAAAAAGGCCTTTAAAAAAAATAATCTCATTGTTGACTAAATCTTAAGTATGCAAATGTTTTAATTTCGTAAAATTCCAATAGGCAATTATCATTCTTATCACAGCATATTCTCATGCAGCCAAAATGCAGCCACTCTCCAGAGGATATAAACACCATAATGATCAGTCTGCTGAGAGTTAAAGCTGTCAAATATTAAACTATTATGAGCGGATTAGCATTTCAAATGTGTTGTCCATCACTATTCGACTTTAAAAATAATAATAATAATAAAAAGAATCAAGTCTAATATGCCACTTGTTTGTGTTTTTTTTTTTAAGGCAACTGATCGAGAAGGTGACCCTATAAAATACCTCATACAAAATGGAGACCCCCAACATGTATTTAATCTTTCTGAAACGTAAGTCAATTTTTTCTTTTGAGTGGCAGTGAATTAACACATCGATTTTAGTTAACCTGCTTTCTCTCTCTCTCTCTTTCTCTCTCTCTCTCTCTCTCTTTTCCATTCAATCATGTCTGATTCTTGGAGACTTCCTGGATGAGTCCCTGCAGTTTTCTTGCAAGGTTTTTCAGAAGTGGTTTGCCTGTTTCCTAGGGCTGAGAGAAAATGACTGTCCCAAGGTCAGCCAGATGGCTTTGTTCTTAAGGCAGCACTAGAACTCACAGTCTTCCACTTTCTAACCTGATGCCTTAACCCAGGGCTGTCAAACTCCTGGGCCGCAGCTGGATGTGTCATGCGCTGGCCACGCCTACGGCTGGTTTAGCAAAGGGGGAAAATGTCCCAATACGTCACATGACGATGCGAGTTTGACACCCTTGCCTTAATAACTGCACCAAACTGGCTCTCTAATCAGCTATACAAAATGTACAAATATACTTATATATCAATTTACTGATGACAATGTGTATAGTGATAACAACTTCTATGAATTTAAAGCAATTTTCATTAGTCATGGCTAAGTTAGGCCTACCCACCCAGACAATTAATTAAGAGCTTCTATTCAGAATAATCTACATTACAATAATTTTACTTTGCCTTATAATAATTGCAATGTAGTAATATATAGATAGACATTTGATGGACTTGCAAACTCTTTCAATCAATAACATATCTTTATGATAGGTTTCCAAACACATCTACTTTCATCTCTGTTTCCCATGCAAGCTTATTCAGGTTCACAAAAGAAAGTATCTATGGGACTTACTTCCATCTATGTAATTGTAGGGTTACAGCACGTATTTCTAACTTCTCAGGCCAATTTAAATAGCAGACTTAGTGCAAATAAGTTTCCAATCATAACCATTCAACTGTTTGAAGCTGAGCTCTCTCATATTTAATAGCAGCCTTGTAAATGGTGCTAAACTTTAAAACCATACATCTGAGACCATTTATTTATTATAAATGTTTGATTGGGTAAAACCTACTGAGATGGAAACTTCCATTATGAGAACAACCTGGGATTAATTAGAAGCCTTTAAATTTGCCAGGTTTTCTGCTAATGACAGTGACTTTTTCAAAAACTTGCTAATTCTAGTCTTAAAAATGAAATGTGCTTTAATAAGAAAGATCTTTTGGGACTATTGTTTTAATTCAACCCCAGATATTCCAGACATTACTACCGAGAAAGCTTTTAGCTTTCCTCCTAAATTAATGCCACATTAAAGAAAAGCCATAGCAAACTGAAAGGTGCATGTACTAGAAACAATGAAAAATCTTTTTTTTAAAGAATCTGTCAGTTGCGAAGCTATTACTTGTCTAAATATTAAATATAAAAAGGAAAGAAGGAAAGCTGTATTTTGAAGTAAATTTGAAGCTTTATGATTGTGTTTGCAGAATTCAACAGTTGTACTAAAACAAAAAATGACTAGTTCTTTGCAACTTGAGTACTGCATAAGCAGGATAAAAATTAAATCTGTGCAGGTGGTAATTTCTTCTAAAGCTCATATTGTAATTTTGTTAATGCAGAACCAGCTTTCTTTAGGTGACTTTCTGCTTAGGGAACAATGTATCAAAGACTGAAAATATTAATTCTTGTGGAATGTAATTGGACATTTCAGAACTGTCACAGTTACCATTTTGACAGCCATATACAACATCTAATTTTGCATTAGACTGAAATGTACTATTATGGACTGGGATGTATATTTAGAACCAAATCTCACTGAAAGTAAGAAATACAAGAAGTGATGAATATTAGAGCTGTTTCTTGAAGATTGTTGAAATGAAGCTGACCTAATCAACTTTGGCTAAAATTCATAGTTTACGAACTTTAGCAAGGCTGCTTCTGGGAAGATTCAGCAGTTATTTGCTCTTCCATTTTAGAAAGAGCAAACCTGATGGAAATTTAGAATGATTCTTAGAAAATCAAGTGTAGCTACTCAGTTTGTGTAATTATTTTTAAGGTTTCCTACAGACAAGGTTTAGTAAAATGGGAAACCACAGCTCCATGTCATATGTAGTCCAAAAAAATTGAAACCTCATTCATGTGTATTTCTGGAGCCATTCTATGTCCTGAATTTATTCAGTATGTCTGGGGTTTTTTTATTTTTTATTTTTGTTTGTTAAGCATGTATGAGAAAACAAGTATAAGTATGAACATAACATATAAACATATACGTATAAACAGGTATAAGTATATACATAATAAATGAGTACGAATAAATGGGAACAGTGGGACAGGGACGGTAGGCACACTGGTGCGCTTATGCACACCCCCTTACAGCCCTCTTATGAATGGAGTGAATTCCACAGTAGACAGTTTAAGATTAAAGTTTTGGGGGTTTGAGGATGTAATAACAGAGTCAGGTAGTGAGTTCCAGGCGTTGACCACTCTGTTGCTGAAGTTGTATTTTCTACCATCGAGTTCGGAGCAGTTTACTTTGTATCTATTGTTTGCCCATGTGTTATTGTGGTTGAAGCTGAAGTAGTCATTGACAGGTAGGATGTTGTAGCAGACAATTTTGTGTATTAAACTTAGGTCAGACCGTAGGCAGCATAGTTCTAGGTTGTCCAGGTCCAAAATTTCAAGCCTGGTAGCAAAAGGTATTCTATTTTGCATACAATCTATATAGCTTATATAGGAGAATTAAAAAAGCATTTAGCTTACTAACAGTGCAACAAAGTTGCCTGTAACCAGGGGTGGGATTCTACAGGTTCACACCTATTCACTAAAGCTGGTTGTTAACATTCTAAGCAGTTTGGAGAACCAGTTGTTAGAAGAAATTACTGGCCTAATCCAGTAAGGAAGTCAGGAAGGAAACATTCTGGTGTTGCTTGCAGAAACTGCCTCTCCGTTAACCCTTATTACATTCTTGGCAGGACTTGACTTCCTGTCTCTGGAACTTCTTTGGAGTTTTTTTTCTCTCCCTTGCTGGTACTTTGCTTGTGTGGAGTGACCATTCAAAGTTACAATGGCACTGGAAAAAGTGACTTTTCACACTTACGACTGTTGCAGCATCCCCACAGTCATGAGAGGCCAGGCGAGGAGATGCGTGCCTCGATGTGAGTGATGTTGAGTTGGCCACGCCCAGCCAGTCACATGACCACCAAGCCATGCCCACCAACTAAGCCACACCCATAGAACCAGTTGTTAAAAATTTGAATCCCACCCCTGCCTGTAACCATTCTGATTCCCAACATCAGCAGAAGTTAACGAAGAAGTTAACACTGTTTTGTAATATTCCCAGTACAGTATTTGTTATCTCTATCTCTATCTCTCTTTCTCTCTCTCTCTCTCTCTCTCCCTCCCTCCCTCCCTCTCTTTCTCTCTCTCTCTCTCTCTCTCTGTGAATGTGTGTATGTGTGTAAGTTAGTATTCAGACAAAACAAAAAGTAGGAAAATGATCTGAGAATGCAACATAGAGACCACTCTGTCTACAAAGACAAAACTATACTGGCAGGGTGGCTTGCTTTCAGAATTTCTCAAGAACATCAACAGAATGTTCTATCAAAATGGATACTCTGTCAATAGAAAAGAGGACAATTCATGCCTTGGAAGGTCAGGAACTGAGCAAGACATTGACTGAATTTATAATGCAGTGAACCACAGGTTATCCCAACACCAACTCATAGCCATCATCCCATTATCTCAAAGTTCACATTTTTCACACCTCTTTTGTACTATAGACAGGTTTTCCAGCCACATAAGAGTCTCAGATTTCAGTAAGAGCCAAGAGGTTTTTAAGAAATAGCAGGGGAAAGTTGCTTTTTCTTTTCTTGTGACTCAGTTAAAATGCAATCCCACCATCCACCAAATGATAGAAAATATACTAACAGAAAAAAGGGTGGTCCTTATTGCCAACCTCTTTCTTCTTTGTAGGTTCCATTCTTCATTGTTGATGAAAAGTGGTGCCTTATTTCTTGTGTGTTGTGCTCTTTTTTTCATAGAGTTGGATAACTCCTCTGAGTTTCCTGACCTCCCCTCTTCTAATAGTTACTAGCTTGCAGAAAGAATCCACCAATATAGAAAGTGTCATAGGGAGAGGCTTGATATTTAACTATGATATCTGACATTTATTTTGTGCTAGGAAGAAAAGAGTATCATAGGGATTTACAATATGGCATCCAGATTTTGACTGCTATCAAGTAACTCATTAGTCATCATCAATCATCTTTTAACAATCCCATAATCCCTTGCGGGGTCGAGTCTGGGCAACTGAATGGAGCTAGCAGAGTGTTTAATGGCCAGATGCCCTTCCTGTTGCCAGTGCAGAGTTTTGTTCAGCAAACATATTCTCATTGTGCCCAGAGAGAGAAAAATATCTACCTCTACCTAGGATTGAACTGACAGCTTCCTGATTGTGAGGCAAGAGCTCCACCTCTAGGCCACCGCACCACTCTAACTCATTACATGGATATAGAGAATTCAAACTCTTTGCTACTATCCAAGTAGTCATCCATACTTTTACAACATGGTTTTGATAATGCTAATTTTCAATTGCAGAGGGTCAAATATTTAGAGTTCTAAATAACATTTGGGAATTACAAGGGTATAGAAGGCATCTGCTTGACGTTACTAGAACTCTTGTATATTTATTAAGTTGTGCAAATTCTACAATCTCTTATCCAGGTCACTGAATAAATTCCACCCCCTTTCCAGATTTCTACATGGCAAATCACTAGAGTTTATTTTCATGTATGTATGCATATGTATGGTGCTGGTCACCTTGGACATAAAGTTAATTGACCAAGGTGACCAGTTATAGGGCAACCTTGTCTCTTGCTCTACCACATCATCTCAGAAAAGTTAACTTTCCAAAAATCCCTTTTTCCTTGCTCTTACTGAGGATGAGGAAATAAAAAAAAATGGCAGAAGTAAAGAATCTTCAAGGATTGGATAGTATCTGCCCTAGCTTGAAACATCATCCATCACTTTCTATCAATAGGTCCTCTGACTGCCACTACCAGCAAGGTTAGAAAATGCTACAAATCTCAGCAGGCTGAAAATTATTTTTTTAATGGGCAAAATGCTATGTGAACAGCAGTGCAGCTAACTGGTAACTTACAGCAACCTCACTCAAAGGTTGGGAACAAGATGAAAGCAACATCATGGAACATATCTGTTGAGGTATTCCCCGTTAGGAGAATGAGTGTACTCAGGGAAACGTAGGGAGAGTGATGTTGAATAACACATGACCAACATACAGATACACTGAATAGTAAAATGTAGGTTTTACTTCCAGTAAACGGGTAAACAAAGTCCAACAAACAATCCAAATCATACACAGTTAAAGCAGTTAGTATCAGTCCAGGGATAAGCCCAGGGGTCTTCAAACTTGACAGCTTTAGGACTTGTGGACTTCAACTCCCAGAATTCCTCCTCCAGTCATGTTAGCTCAGGAAATCTGGGAGTTGAAGTCCGCAAGTCTTAAACTTGCCAAGTTTGAAGACCCTTGAATGTAGCCTATTATTTCCTTAATTTTGCTCTTCAAGGACCTGAGTCCTTTGTTCTGCCAAAGCACACATACTTCCTGTTTGTTTGTTAATTCTTATGGGGTAAAAGTGCTTGGTGAGAAAAAGAGAAGTCTGGGAGAACAGAAGAGAACTGGAGCATATAATATTATTTATTTAAGATATGCCACTTCTCATCCAGGTCTTCCATGAGAGTTCACAAACAGAAGCACTAGAATGAATTAAAATCCAACTGCCCTTAGAGCAAATGGAGACAAAATCCAGGGGGAAGAACTACAGCTTAAACAGCCTGACACATTGTCAGATTTCCATAGCAAGAACATCATAATGGAGAAGACCTTGTGCAGGAAAAAAAAAGATCACACAGCTGTTATTTGTAAGCAACACTCCCAAAAAGACCACCTTTCAAAGATCTCCAGGGCCAGACTGGTATATCGCAGCAGAGTTCTTTAAATCTGGATCTGTCATTTTATCACAATTGCATTGAAAATATCTGATTTTTACTGTTTGTGTTTTAAGACACCTATCCCGCCAGTTTAAGAGAGCGACAGGATTGTGTTCATGCTGGGGCTATCAGTATAACCATATATTGCAAAATCTTCAATTCCTAAACTCTGTGTGTTGTGTGTTTCTGTCATCATCATCCTCTTTTAATGATCCCATAATCCCTTGTGGTGTGGAGTCTGGGAAACTGAATGGAAATAGCAGAGTGTTTTAATGACCGGATGCCCTTCCTGTCACCAATGCAGAGTTTTGTTCAGCAGATATATTCTCAGTGGGCCCAGAGAGAGAAATATCTATATCTGTCTATCTGCCTGCCTGTGTCATGCCCCTGGTGGAGACTGACTCTGAGGAAGAGGAGGGAGGAACAGCCAACAGGGAGTGGGAGTGTGGCTCCAGAGGTGGTGGAGGAGGCTGGGGAAGGGCAGAGGCCGGCTGAGCAATCAGAAGAGGATCCAGGCCCATCCCCTCTCCATCCTAGGTCACGCAGGGAGGAGAGGATCAGGGAAAAGAGAGGTCTACTCAGGAGGAGATTACCATGATCCTCCTCGTGGCTTGCAGCTGGGAGCTATGTATATAAGTTTGTAACTATGCAGTCAGAATTGCTGAAGTCAAAGTTTAGTGTTTACTTTGAAAGAGGTTTATCTTTGCTGGCGTTCTTCCCATGGACTCTCCTTGATTATCTTCCTGGAATGTATGATTAATTATCTTGGCTTGCTTCAGAACTCTCATCAATGCGGTTTGTTTTGGTTTTCTTTTTGCCTCATTATTTACTTTTGGGACTTTAAACTGTGCCTAATAAAACAGTGAAGTTAAGTTGAAGGCATTACCAGACTTTAATGTATGTTTTGGGTTTGGGGTTATTTTGAGAGACTACGGATCCTCACAGCCTGCCTGCCTGCCCCCCCCCCTATCTATCTATCTATCTATCTATCTATCTATCTATCTATCTATCTATCTATCTATCTCTATCTATCTATCTATCTATCTATCTATCTCTATCTATCTATCTATCTATCTATCTATCTATCTATCTATCTATCTATCTATCTATCTATCTATCTATCTATAATATGCAGTTACTAAATCTCAAAAACCAATCTTATGCTACAGAAAAAAATCCCCCAAAGTCCATTCTAAAGGAGAAATGTTTGCAAGTCTAAATCAAACCCCCTTGCATATAAATAAGCTTGTCACTCTTTAGGAGCCATACTTTCTCGTAACATACATATTTATTTTATTGCTAGATCCGGGCTGCTAGCCTTAGGAAAGCCTTTAGATCGAGAAAGCACCGATCGCTACATTTTGATTGTTACAGCCTCAGATGGCCGACCAGATGGGGTAAGTTTCTTGCAGAAATATAAAAATGTGTCTGCAGCTGTGAGCAAAGAATCAGGAAGCTTTAAAAAAACAACTGTGAGTCACAATCTTTTGTTACATGTTTTCTCCCCTTTTGGTAACATTTCTAACATACAGCAATTCCCTTTCATGTCCAAAACATTTCTGGCAATGCTTGTAATGCTGCTACTCTAGTGGTTTGTGCCATATCTCTGACATTTCATCGTTCTGTTTTGGCCAGTTGAAACATCACACATTGTCAGGGGAATCCCCAAGGACTGATCCAACACAAAACTAGAATCCATAGCCTGAGCTGCTTGTTTTGACCTTTTATAAAATTGTATCCTGAGAACTTCCCTATGGGTAATAGGACATGGACACAATTTCTTTTCATTTTTTCTCCCCGGACACTTGGGAAAGAATTTTGAAATGATGTGTGGCAAAAGTTATAATGAAAATAACATTGAAGGTTTTCTATTGTTACTCAAGATAGAAGTTCACAGGTTAGAGTAGCTGCTAGCTAGAGAATTGGGATACTTGCTGTATTTATAAATCAATAGCAATCAAGCACATTCAGATCTCTAGTTACATATATGGCAGTCTTTCAGATAAGCTGTTTATTAGCTAGTTCAAAGAATGCATACAATTTGCACGCTATAAATCATGATACTTTTTTTTCTTTGAAGTATGGGCAATCCTACTCTATGCTTTAGCACTTCACAGTCCTTCAATATATAATAATTTTGGGAACGGGGACTGCTTTTAATGTCAGTATTTAATAACCTTCCACTAAGGTAAACAATGCCAGTGTTTTTTACAATAAAAACAGGTTGTAAATGGCTCTGGGATCAGTATGTTTGATAAATTGTGTGTTCTCATACCAGAATAGACCTCGTTAAGGTAGACATAGATCTTGAGAAGTGAAAGCTTGATTAAGAGAGTCTTCCTCTTTTATCTTAACATCTAGACAACTTCCTATAAACATGGTGTCTCAGGCTTTCAAACAGAAAATCAGCCCCTTCAATGGTACTCAAATAACAGCTGGCAATTCATCTAGATCTAGATAAGCATACACCTTATCATCTAGATAAAGTGTATGCTCAGAATCTCAACCACTGGTAATCAGCTTTGCTGATATCTTCTGCACTACTTTAAGCTTCCAGGTATTCTTCAGGGATAATCTAATGAAGACAGATAAACAGAGGAGGTATTCAGCAGGTTCTGACCAGTTCTGGAAAACCAGTAGTGTAATTTTTGAGGAGTCTGGAGAACCAGCAAATACCACCTCTCTGATTGGAGATTTTACAGTATCCTTCCCCTGCCATGCCCACCAAGCCGCACCCACAGAAAAAAAATTGGTAGTAAAAAAATTGGAATCCCACCACTGCACATAAATGTAAAGGTTTTCCCTATCCAGTTATGTCTGATATCTGTTTTTTAACCGAGGGAGCACGTGTTGTCTGAAGACAGTTTTGTGGTCATGTGGCCAGCATGCCTACATGCTGAGACACATGAAACGTTGTTAGCTTCCCACCAAATTGGTACCTATTTATCTGCTCACATTTTCATGCTTTTGAACTGTTAGATGGGTATGATTAGGGACAAGGACAGGAGCTCACCTCATCTTGTGGCACTTGGGTCTCGAACCTGGGCTGTCAATTTTCCAGCTGACAAGTTCAGCATCTTTAACCACTGAGCCATTGCGCTCCTTAATGAAGATCCGTAAGTGGTGCCAAATACACTCAGGAAACACTGGATTTGATGCACTAGATGTAAATCACAAGTGCACACTTTGCCTTTGTTGCCATGTAGGAATCCAAAGAGACCAAACAGAACTATAAGTTAGTCCAAGAAATGAAGCAGTCGATATAAATTACAGGTAGTTCACAAATTTTGACCCTTCATTCATAGTTATAATGACACAAAAAAGGGAGGATTTATGACCAGTCTACAAAGTTGTGGCTGTCACAAGGTTCCTTTGTTCATGTGATTGTGATTTGTGCACTTAACAACTGGCTTACAGTTGCGATGATTACAGGGTCCCGCGGACATGAGATCACCATTTGTGATTTCCCCTGCCAGTTTTCCACAAAATCGGTGGGATCACAAGTCACTCCCACTCCTGCTGCTTTTTCACCCATCTGAAGCACCTGCCAACCCCGCTGTTCTGTAACATCTTCATGTGGCACCTGTCTACCAGAGGTGGTATTCAGCAGGTTCTGACCAGTTCTGGAGAACCAGTAGCAGAAATGTTGAGTATTTTGGAGAACCGGCAAATACCACCTCTGAATGGACCCGCCCCATCTATTATCTGCCCCCTGAGTCCCAGCTGATTGGCTGGGTCTTCTTTTGTTGCCCTGCACAGGAGAACAGAGCTAGAAAGCAGGTTAGTGGGGTGGGGTGGGAATGGAGATTTTGCAATATCCTTCCCCTGTCATGCCTACCAAGCCACACCCATCTAGCCACACCCCGCCCACCAAGCCACGCCCATAGAACCGGTAGTAAAACAATTTGAATCCCACCACTGCTACCTACCTACCTGCTCTTACAAAGTTAGTCTTTCTCTGTTGTTTCCAACTGTTTCATATCTAGGAAGTTTCCTTCCTATGGAGATGAAGATCTGACTCCTACAGACAATTTCCATGGCATGGAGAATTAACTATATAATGAAATGTCTGCAAGAAAACAACTAAGCTCAGAGAGCATTAAGGGCCATGCAGTTCAACACTGAGCTATAAATGTTCTTTTCTATATAGGCTAGATATTATCTTTGATCAGTTTTTTTGGTGTGACCCACATTCTCAAAGCACATGGAATAATGTTCAGAACAAGTGAAATTATTGAATGTTTAATTATTTATCTAAACATTTATATGAGCCATGGTGGCACAGTGGTTAGAGCGCAGTACTGCAGGCTACATCTGCTGACTGCTGGCTGCCTGCAATTTGGCAGTTCAAATCCAACCAGGCTCAAGGATGACTTAGCTTTCCATCCTTCCGAGGTGAATAAAATGAGGAGCCAAATTGTTGGGGGCAATATACTGACTCTGTAAACCACTTAGAGAGGACTGTAAAGCATTGTAAAGTGATATATAAATCTAAGTGCTATTGCTATATGCATGTACCCCATATTACACAGTGCCATAACTGCGTGTATCTATGCCTATCTCTCATGCTTTCTTTCTCACTTACACAACAAACTTTCCATTTCTCTTTCCAGACTTGAGCATAGAGACAGATGCCCAACATGCATAGATAGAGAAGTATGGAGGGTTGGGACAAAAATTAGAAAGAGAATTAATGGAAGCTCATAAATTGGTACAGTATAATAGAGTTGGAAGGGGGTTTTCAGAGGTTTTCTAGTCCAACACCCTGTTCAAACAAGAGACCCGGTACCATTCTGGAGAATTATAAGGTGGGAAGGTGGGAAGGGGGAAAATGATGAGGAACATGGCTGAGACACTGAAATGAGAAGAATGAAGAGAATAACAGATTGACTGTAGGAGCCAGTTGGGAGACATGTGAGGGCAAGCTATTCTTACAGGCTACAGAATGCTGCTTTTTGTACCTGTGCCTCAGTCATATACAAGTAATCCTCAAGTTACAACAGTTCATTTAGTGAGCATTCTAAGTTACAAAAGTTCTGGAAGAAATGAGTTATGACCGTTTTTCTCACTTAAGACATCCCCATGGTCACGTGATCAAAATTAGGACACCTTCAACAATTGGCTCATATTTATGATGGTTGCTGTGTCTCATGTGATTCCCTTTTGTCACATTCTGATAAGTAAAGTCAACAAGGAAGCTAACTTCGCTTAACAACTATGTTACTAACTTAACAACTGCAACAATTGACTTAACAATGGTGGCAAGAAAGGTCATAAACTGGGACAAAGTTCACTTCACCAATGTCTCCCTTAGCAACAGAAAGGTTGGGCTCATTTGTGGTCATAAGTCGAGGGTCGCCTATGCTTTACCTTTTTCCTGTATTTGATAATACAGTTGCATTGAAAAGCTCTGTGTAAAACGATATTAAAGTTTCTTTCTGGTGATGTAGTTTCTGGTTCAGGCCTTGAAAAATCATCACTTCGTATAAGATTATGAAATAATGGGCTCTGGGCATAAATTTATCAAAATGTTGATACTTCTTCAGGGAATGCTCTATTCTCTAGCCCAGTGGCCTCCAACCTTTTGAGCACCAGGGACCGGTTCCATGGAGAAAGTTTTTTTCCATGGACTGGAGTGCGCATGGTTTTAACAATAGCAATAACATTTAGACTTTACAGACCTCTCTAAGCAGTTTTACAGAGTCAGCATATTGCCCCCAACAATCTGGGTTCTCATTTTTACCGACCTCGGAAGGATGGAAGGCTGAGTCAACCTTGAACTGCCAAATTGCAGGCAGCCGGCAGGCAGCAGAAATAGCCTACAGCACTGCATTCTAACCACTGTGCCACCGTGGCTCTTGCATGCTGTCTGAATCCTATGGATGGGGCTTCACTTGTTTACGCGGCCCAGTTGCTGGCATACTGGGGTGCAGTGCTGATCTATGGCCCAGGGATTGGGGACTACTGCTCTAGCACAGTGATGCCCAATTTATTGGTTCTCAAGGGCCCCTGAACGACAATGGAAAGACCGTCAAAATTCTAATCAGAAAGTTAAAGATAGAAAGCCCTGCATCTATATGGCTTCTGTCTGGAGATTTTGAGAGCATCACCTCTCTGGTTCATAGTGCCATTTTTCTAATGAATATATCATTAGTGAAGGAGAAAATCTCCATTTGGTTCAGGCTCCGCTTATTAGCTCTTCAGGTATTAGTTCATTTTCATTTATTTCATTCTAAATGGAAAACTTTGTATATATGTATGGGGAGGACAGGGGCGGAATCCATACTTTATAACCTTTGAAGTTGCATTTTTCTGCATCAGCAAGAATATAATAAGGAACGGAATGGAATCCTACTTCACTTGTTTCAGCCTGGTTAGTTAACTATCGCTGTGGCTA